CAAATCAAATTTTGTCATTTTTCATCCGAATCAAAAAAGAATAGATTATTTTCCTCAGCTAAAGTTATATGATCATGGAACCAAGAGAATGTTGCCCTTAGAAATGAAAAACTCTGTGAAGTATCTTGGTCTCATGATTGATTCTAGTTTATCTTGGAAAGCTCATATTGATTATATCTCTCTTAAAACCAGTCGGATTATCGGGATTTTTTCCAGAATTCGACATTTTATTCCAAAATATATTCTAGAAAAGATTTACTATGGCTTAATGCATCCTTATCTGAGTTATGGAATCACTGTTTGGGGTCAAGCTTGTAAGTCTGATCTCAATCGTCTGCTTGTTCACCAAAAAAGAGCTGTCCGCTTGATGCACTTTGCCGATTACAGAGATCACGCTATACCTTTTTTTACTAAATCTGAAATTCTTCCAATAAATTTTCTCTATTTTCATAATGTGGCTTGTATTATGCATGACGTTATGAACAATAAATCTCCGGTTAATATCACAACATTATTCACTGCCATTGCTGATACACATAAGTACAATACTAGGTCTGCGGCTCGTCATGACCTTTATCAACCATTTTCGAGATTAAATATCTTAGCTAAGTCATTTTCCAGAATGGGTGTAAAAATTTGGAACAGTTTACCTACCTCTATTCGAGAATTAAGTAAACCCTGTTTTTCCAAACAATGCAAAAGTTTACTCCTCGATGCTCTAAGTTTCTGCGATGACTATGGTGATCTTACCATGATTATGCAAACAATATCTAAAACTGATTAATTCTTGTTTCTTTTCTTCTGTATATGAGCTAAATTAATTTTCACACGGTAGACACGTATACAGCCGGCTTTGGTAATTCTTCCATGGCATTCAGTTCTGCCATGGAGCCTGATTTCTTTCTTTTTTTTCCTTAACTGTATGAAATCTTAACCCCCCACCTCGAATAGCTATTGCTAAATGTGGGAGGGTAAATGGCTGTTAAATATATACTTATTAATTTTAATAATAATAAAAGTTGATGCAATTTGGAAAGTTGATGCAATACTGATTCAGTGCGACTTTGTCGCATATTTTTTACAAACATGACAGCAGTGAAATTGGTCGATTATTTGAAGCGATTTCAGGATCCCCTTCCTTGTGTAGCAGTACCACTTCTGCTATCTTCCACATTGAAGGATATGTTGATGTCATCAAGGAACAGTTGATAATATTCTTAACAGGATCTAAAATCACTTCAAGAGAATTTTAATGAATTGAATATTTATCTTATCGGCACCTGTAGCTTTGTTTGATGGACTATTTAAAATAATTGTTCTAAATTCAAACAGATCAAGAGAAGATCTGTGTCTTGCAGGTGGTAAAGCAGTTGCTATCTGAATGTTGTTAACTTCCGCAAGTCTCTTGTCCTTCTCGGCTGCAATCTTCCCCACAGAAGCAAAATATTCGTTAAATTCATTGGCTAATTTTTTGTGGTCTTTCTGGTAAACAGGTTTTTCTGAATCTTTGCTCGGCAGACACCCCCTAATCACTTCCCACATAGATCTTGAATTACCTTTATATTCCTCAATTTGATTCCGGACAAAGTTGGACTCTGCTGCTCCTAAAGATGTTTTTATAGAATTCCTAAGTTGCCTATAGACATCCCAATCTTCCGTGTTACGTGAAAGGCGAAAAATTCTCAGCTTTTTGTCTCTAAGTTTCATCGTGCACTTTAGTTCTTTATTCAAACACTCATTAATAATTCATAAGCTTATTGGCAAATCATGTTAACCATAATATGTCACGTGCAGTGGCTTTAAACCTGATAAAACACTCCTAATTAGTATTCTTTATATAAAGAATACTAATAAGGCAGTATCTATTGTAGTCGTGTCCTCATTAGTATTTTTTATATAAAGAATACTAATAAGGCAGTAAATCTATTGAATTTGTAGTCGTGTTTGAAGCCGTTCAATAAACTCGCAGGTCATGTTTTATTAGGTTTAAAGCCACTCGTGCTGCGCGCTCGTGGCTTTAAACCTAATAAAACACTCCTGCTCGTTTATTAAACAGTACTTAATAAATTGGTTAAGTCTGCCTTTAATTCTGATGTGTTTGATAGGTGCGTGTTTGTCCAGAGTATTTATGAATAATTGATTGAAATGATCAATTTTCTCATTTACATCATTAATACGATAGGTTTCATGAAAAGTTGAGACAGTTCTGCCTTGAAACTCTCAGAGTTGTAGTTCTTAAAACTCCTCACATCCTTGTATTCAAGTCGAGGCTTATCAGCTCTTAGTTTAAGTGTGCAGTATATCATAGAATGGTCGCTAATATGCCGCCACCCTTTTTGTGCTTACGATCAAGTCTGTATATGTTGTTTTCCTGAATTTTTACCTCGGCATTAGTCGTGGACGAATTTAGCCATGTCTCTGATAATGCCAAGATATCTAGTTTCTCGTCAACAACTAGTTCTCGTACTTGAATTAAATGATTTCTGTTTCTAATTGACTGCACGTTGAGATGAGATAACTTTATTTTGTTAAATGAATGTTTTTGGTTATTCATTATGATGTTTGAGTTGACTGCATGTGAAATGTTTACAGATCTTTTATTTTGAGGATTATGCCTCACCCGCCTAACATTCTGATGGGAATTTGAGCCATTATACATATGTTGAAAGGATTCCCTCTGGGGGCTGTTGTTTCTACGATCAGTAGATGTTGGTTTCCACGGTTTGCATTTCACAAACTTGGGCCAAAATGTTTCGTTTTCAATCAAAGAGCATAAATTTGCTTGGACATGAAGTTTAGCAGAAATTTAACCTTTCCATTTACTTTTAAATAGAGATAAGTATGTTGGTATTACCTTTTGCTTTTCCAAATAACATAAAATATCCTGATCATTAACATTCTCAGCAATCCCGGACAAGAGGAACTTTTTAATTCTATTATGCTTTCGTTTTAACCCCAATAAACCCATCACTATCATCAATTTGTTCATTCATTTTCCGAGCTGCAGGGACTTGCATAATATTTTCTGTATTATTATCCGTACTGGGTTTGCCATTAATCCTGTTAACAGGGGGAGGAGATTTTGCCACTTGAGCATAGGTTCTTCAAGATCTGGATTGTTCATCAATACTTCAGTCTCTATGTCTACTTTGCCCAACATCAGTTGAGATTGACTCTCATGCCAGAGGAGAATCAGGAGCAATACTTATACTTCGATATGTATTCGACTGATTACTGTCATTTTGATTTTTGTTTTCATGCATTTGTAAACCACATGTGACAATAACTCGACCACCAACGCAGTTGGCTGGTCGGCTACAACATTTTATTACTTTGAAAAAAATAACATCAGATTCAGTGATTGTTAAGGGTGTTAATGAAGTTTAATATGTTGAAATAACTGGCATCCAAACCGCAGTTTGAAAAAAAAGCACCAAAAAACGCCCAGAAAACAACACACAGCAGACAGATCTTTATGGCATAGAGGCTCTCACTAACCTATGTTTTACCTAGAGGAACAGGCAGACCTCTAGATTGCAGAGGGAGTGATGCGGCTCTGTGCATGTTGTTCAGCAACGTATGAGTCCTGATGGTCTGGGGACCACCATTGGTATACTGAGACAGTATGGGTACTCGATACCTGACAGAGCATGCAAAAACTGTAGGTTTTTCAGAGGAACAGGTGAACCTCTAGATAACAGGGGAACAGGCAAACCCCCGTTCAGGTCAGTCAGCTCGTTGATGTTGAGTACTAGTTGAACTGGTGAAAAACGTATGGTAACTCAAGTGAAATGACTTACCCATTGAGTCTGTAGGTCAGGTCATTAGGTCGCACGGCAACCAGATTCAACCAAGGGTATTTTTGAGTAGAAATATGCGATCAAACACTCACAAAATTCGACCACATTAAAGTTGGTTGAATCTAGTTTAAAGTTATCTTTTTAGACAAACTGTTTATGCAAATTTGGGCACAATTTCGACTGTTTTCGTAACCCCATTGTTGGTCTTCTTGTTCAAGTTGTTATTTTAGCTAAAGTATGTTTCAAACGACACCAGATTAAATTACTGTGTGCATATGTGCCCTTTTTGGCAAGAATACTTCAAGTATTAAATTACACTAAGTAAGTAGGATATTCCAAAATTACAGTTATATCTATTTTCATCAATTTAGTCTTAAAACGACAACTCATTTCAGACATATTGTGGTTTAAAATAATTGTATCGAATTAGTGCGCTTGCTTGCCACGTGCAAATTTTCAAAAAGTCTGCACTTGAGTTCTAAAGCTTTAAAACGCTTTTTCTATTGGGTTTTATATCCCCATAAAACGATAATAATGTTGATGCAACCTCATTTTTCTAGTAACTACACGTTGAATCAGAAGGAAAAGTTATCAAAAATAGGTCGCGACGGTTGCTTGCAAAATGCCGATTTGATTTTCATTTGATTTTGATTTTCAATCAAAACAAAGTTTGATAATTGCAAAAGATTTGACACAGAACCCCCCCCCAGTAAACCATCCTGATGCCACACAAAAGAATGCTCCTTTCCCTCTGAGTTAACAATGAAAGTATATTTTTTACAGATCTCTGGGATATTGCTTTTACAACCTTAAAGATATGATTATGAAGACAGATGTCTGTACATTGTAGAGTATTTTGTACATCCTATAAACTTTTGTAATATCCACACAATATATAAATTTGTATCATAATTAAATTTGTATCACAATCTGTAATTTAATAAATATTCATTTTCATCTTGTTTCATTTCTTGTTTTCTTTGATAACCTGCAAGAAAAGATCTTAGAAAATCTGATATTTTTGCAAATTTATTATGATATACTGTGTAAATGCATGATCTAATTTATGCCTGGCCTAGTAGAATTCCAATATACGACCAATCTATGTGTTTATTTTCAATGAAATTAATAAGAATAATTTACTGCATGAGTTTAATAAAAAAAGTTCAGACATGGAGGATTTTTATATGAAAGCTGGGTTTTGCATGGTTAGCACTACAACTAGCCTAATTAAGTAATAACAAACATATCACTGTGTAGCTTTGTACAAGACCTCACTTGAAAAAGATTAAATCACGGTTAGCAGGACAAGCATTTTCCCATATAAAGAGACTAACCAGGCTGGCCCGGTTGCCAAGCCTTTTTACGAACATGTTGATTTTGGTAGTAGTTGTGGATATTTGCAGACAGACAAAACTGATGGGTTTTAGAAATGGTAAAAACCGACCTTGGACCGCGCACTCAGATTTTAGGCAAATTATATTTTTTGCAAACTAACATACCCCAGCCTTCATATGCGAGACAATTTAGCCTGTTCAGGAACAGTTCTACAGCACTTTTCAGCTCTGCACATTAGATTCACATATCCTTCAAAACAGCCTTATTATGAACTTTTTAATATTGTGGTCGATTTAAAAAATGTCAAAAAATGACCTTGGACCTACCACTCAAATTTGAATCAATTTATACTTTTTGCAAACTAATATAACCAGGCCTCATCCTTAAAGATAAATTAGTTTGATCAGAAACAGGTTTGGGCTAATTTTCAACAGTTAAACTTGATGTTAAAGAGTAGACTGTTAAAAGTCCATTTCTGCCAAATAGTACAGTACCAGTACTCGATGGATTTTGGGAATAAAAATGTTGAACCGGTTTTTAAATCAATATGGATAGTGAAAAATGTAATAAGTGATATGTCCATATGACTAACCATTATATCTCACATGATTTTCGAAGAATACAAATATTGGGCTGTTCAAGTAAATAAACACTGTGAATATTGTACTTTTGGTTGATTTTGAAAATGTTAAAAAACGACCTTGGACCTACCACTCAAATTTGAATCAAATTATACTTTTTGCAAACTATCAGACCCAGGGTCTATTGTGAAAAACATTTTAGTTAGGGAGCATTCATTTTTTAGCTGGGGGGGGGCGGAGGAACTGATGTCTAATTCCGTGCGAAACTTTGGAACCCCCAAGACAAAAGTTGATAAAAAATTATGACCCCCTATTTTTTTTACTGAAAATTTTTTGACCCCTCATCCTAAGTATTAATCCACACGGTGTCGTTTCCATAGCGTTTCAGGGCCGTAGGAAGCTCTGTTTTATTGGGGGGGCTGAAAGCGAGGGCCAAAGGCCCGAGGAAATTTTTAAATCTAGAGTCTCTTAAATGCCATTTCCTGGCCTTTGGGGGAAGATTTGACAGAATTCTGATGGCCAGAGAAACAGCGTTTAGTATGTCGAAATTGACAATTTGGTAGTACTAAATGGGCGAAGGCGTATTCAATTTACTATATATTGGATAACAAGGATAAGTTGCAGGAAACTGTGGCTACCATCTTCATTCTTTGCAATTTGTCATGGATAATGTAGCCGCTTAAAATTAATAAAGCTTAAAATTGATCAAGGTCTGCATGATTTTGAAGTCATGCAGACCTTGAAACCATGCATGATTTTGAAATCATGCTACGGTCCTGCGTTTTCTTTCATTCATGTTTTCACACAAAAACGGATAAAAACGAGGTCAATTGACGAACGTCATGGAAATGTTTTCCTATGGACTGTGTGAACAGAGCGTCAAATGAATTTTGCTTCTTTGTTATAGATGACGAGATAGTTGATAGATTCTAGACCTTTTTACCATTCTTGATCCAAATATTTCCAAATTCAATAAAATCATATTGGTGATTTTTTCACCGATTATTTTTATGACCCCCTCCATTTATACCAAAACTATAAAAGACCCACCCCTTTGAAGCATGTCAAAATTGGCTGACCCACCCCCAAATTCCTCCGGCCCACACCCCCCCCCCAGCTAAAAAATGAATGCTCCCTTAGATCAGAAGCAGTTTCAGATGATTTATAACTGCTGAAATTATGTTTTACCAATGAACCAATGGTGTAATTTAAGTCACATTTGGCAGGAGCAGTAAAAAGTAATTCAAACCTACTTAGCGTTTGGATTTTAAAATCGATACATTTAATTGCAGAAAATATATCTTAAAAAACAGAACATATACTGTAGTTCAATATTTCCATTTAGTTTTGAAGCTATAGCCAAACATGCTGCATTTAATCACCTTTCCAAATAAATCAGTAAATTTTGAAATCGTTTGTAAAAAACTGCAAATTAATTTTGGACAAACACGCTAGTTCTGTTAATATATAATTTGCTGTAAGTTGAGTATGTCAGGTTTGTTTTTAAAATTTTCTTGTCTGATCAGAAGCAGGTTATTGGCTAGAAATTTAGTATAAATTCAACCATACCTTCCAAGGTTCCATGACAGACTGTCCAGTCAAAACAAATGCCACTAAAAATTGCATCGCTTGTAATTCTTTGTTTATTACAAATTCATCTTGTTAAATCTATCTCCTTACTTCTTGAAGATTAAATTGACTAATTATCTATCAAAAATCTCCCCATCCAGTTGTCATTTGTGTTAAAAACCGCATCATTTACAAAACAAAACACGAAACGACGCTCTACACGAAACGACGCTGCCATATTGCCAGCATTGTTCTATCGCCTTCTCAGCATTCCGGCAATCCGATTGGTTTTGAGCGCCAAATATGCGAGTTTGTAAAAAATCTCCTCTTAAAAATGACTGAAAATATATTCAGCAAAAACATACACATTTTGCAACAATTTTAGCTTTTCCAAGTTGCAAGATATGACTAAAATGATACTAAATCTCTAAGAGGAAAAAACTGCTGAAAAATTTGGGCAAAATTTATTGTTTTTAGCAAAGTGAGTAAAATGCATGGGAATAAAAGGGAAAAATGAGGAAAGTTATAGTTCCAAATCATGTCTGGAGGCAGCCAGTCAGTGAAAATTATATATCAAGAACATGCCACCTTCGATATATCGAAAACAATAAAACTATCCAATGCTTCGATATATCGAAAGATTGCAATTTCCTCGATATATCGAAAGAATGCCATATCTTCGATATATCGAAACAATCCCATTTCTTCGATATATCGAAAGAATGCCATTTCTTTGATATATCGAAAGAATGCCATTTCTTCGACATATCGAAAGATTGCAATTTCCTCAATATATCGAAAGATTGCAATTTCCTCGACATATCGAAAACTAAACTATCCATGGCTTCTATATATTGAAAGAATTCCATTTCTTCGATATATGAAAAGATTGCCATTTTTTCAATATGTCGAAAACTCTAAACTATCCATGGTTTCGATACATCAAAGAAATGGCATTGTTTCGATATATCGCAGAAATGACATTCTGTCAAATAAAATATGTGAAAAACCAAAAGGATGTCATGTCTTGCCAAAGGATGTCATGTCTTGCCAAAACAAGCCATGTTTTAAATATTGATAGTAAAACAACAAAGTAGGGCACAATTCAGCTCAATGGGTTAGCAATATGGTATACACTCAAAATATAACACATTCTACGATAGGGTTGCATATTCTATTTAGTTATAATCAAAATAATCACATGTACAGTCAGGGTTGCCAAGAGGGGGGGGAGAATTGCCCTGGGCCCCCACCTTTAATAGGGGCCAACTTGAGAGCAAGAGCCTAAAATTGAGTAGGTTCTATAAAAAGCATTTTTTAAATTGAGGGCTATAGACGGCCAGCCAGCCGATCAAAATAATGACTGTCGATGGCATTTTTTGTTACAAGCAAACAACAAGCATTTTCTTATAGCTTAGACACTGGTGAGTCACGTTTGATATGTTGCCACCTCTGATTTGAACGAACGAAGAGAAAATTTTAAGGATTTGAACAGTTTGCCTATTAAATTATTATACTCCCGAAAAAATGTGAAATTTGAATTTCACTTAAATTAGCATCGTTTATATCGTTAGAAAGAGCATAAAAAAGTACATATAAGACATTTAAACGAGTAATACGATTTATTTAGTCAAATTCGAGTTATGGCCACTTAAAGAGGTAAAATGCGGTGAATGAAGTCACAAAACCTGTTTTTTAGCAACTTTAAGTGCCCGTAACTGAAAACAGGGTTATAATTTACACTTCTCACTTAAATGTTCTATATTTCCTTTTTTCCGAACTTTCTGATTAAAACGGTGATTTTTGCTGAAAGTTGGATTCAAATTTCATAATTTAGTGAGTATAGTAATTTTAATAGACACAATTTTCAGATTCTCAAAATTTTTCACTTGAAAGTCAATATCAGAGGTGGCAACCTATCAAACGTTGTTCTCCAGTGTCTAAGCTATATGAAAACGCCAGTTGCCAGCTTGTAACAAAAAATGCCATCAATGACATTTTAGAGACACTTTTATTGAGGTTGGCTGGCCGTCTACTACTTACAGTACCTCCACATGCAGTCTAGCTAAGGTTTAGTTGGGTCTAGCTTATAAATAATGTCATAGGGCACCCAGGGAAGGTTTGCTTCGGGCAACGCAAATTCTCTAGGCGGCCCTGTGTACAGTATAGCTAGCTATATTAATTAATGATACATATACAACAACAACATATGTATATATCTATATTGACTAAAATCACTTCATTAGACAGTATGGTGTGGTAACAACTAAATTCAGTTTTAAGAGTTTCTTCTGCCCTAATAACTATTGCTTTAGGCAACTTTCCCACGACAATGCATTTGGACCCAGTAACATGCAGACCACTGCAGATAAACCAGTCTCACAGCAGCGATGTAATACATCAAAAGAGTTTATCTTCACAAAACATTACATGGTACTGATTATATACCTTCTTGTATAGCTGTGTTACTGTCAATCTCCTTTATCAGGTGGTCTGAACCCTCTATGGTTAAATCCGGTTCTTTTGTGTTTGATGTACTACAGCATGCAAAAGTGATATATCATTTGGTTTACATCAATCTAAAAGAATGGAAAAAACTATAAGAACACACACCATTAAAATGATTACAGTTTTTACTGCCAATCAAAGAACACAAGAGAATCAGATATATAATGGCATACAGTGAACCTCCACACATATGGCCTGGGCTTATTTGTGTTCGTAAAGATTTTTTGAATGGGGGGGCTTATGTACAGGGCCCTTATTAGCCTGCTCGCAGGCTGTTGTCAGGCAGAGGCTGGGAGGAGGAACGGCCTGCGACCTTTATTAGTAAAAAGTCGATTTATGCGTACGGAGCGTACGCAAAATTCCCATTGGTCAAAAGTGCCCCATGAGTTAATATCGTGCAAATATTTAACTTGTACAACATTTCGCAATGTAATGTTAAAGCTGGCATTCAATCAGTGGCGTATAAAACCATGACTTTGTTTATCTCTTCGAAGAAGTAACTGACTGTATTTGAAAAACTTTCAATTTAAATTAACGTTGAAGGATGAGCGAAGGTTAGCAATATTAACTGTACTTCCAACGGGATTTCATAAAAGTTTAATATATATATACCAATACTTTGTCTTCGTCAGCTATAAACCTTTTCCAAAGAAGTACAAGGGAAAACTTCGACGTATGCCTTGCTGCTCTTTGCCAGGAGAGAGTAAAATAAGTCTAGTTCAGGCTGACAATTTATCTAACCACGTTTGCATCACTTGCAGCAGAAATCTTTGAGACTTTTGTGTGTGTTTTCAAACGTTGAACAACTTAGCCCAGCGAGACGTTCATTGAGACACAGGCAGTGAATCAGCTAGTATAAAGCAGTTGATTGTCCATTGCTTTCTGCCTCAACAATCTGGTCTTGAATAAGCCAAGACAATGGGCAAATTATTAAAACAGACACCGTCGAGGAAAGTCGTTCTTAGAACACCTGGCCAATTTGAATCAATTTACACCTGGAAATTCTGCAATAGTCGTTTGCGTGTTCTTTGACCGAAGTCCGCTCTCTCTTTGAGACTTTCTTTTTGGGAGTCTCAACTAATGACATATATTATTACAACAAGAGCTTTTTACAGAAAAAATGTGGTTATTAAACACGGCAGAATCGATGCCACAGGGTTTCAAATTGTCTGTTGTCTATTGAGTTAATTGTATTATTGAGCAAATGACAGACTTCACGCAATAATGATTAATGTTGTTTTTTAGCCCCTGCTATTGTTCGACACTTTTAATAAATAGTGTTTGTTCAAAACCTAAATATGTTTCCTTAAATCTTACAGTTATATTTTGGATATAAATGTGTAAAATACATTAACTAATAGAGAATAATATTTTATATATTTATACAGTTATATTTAGTATAGTTACATAATTTAAAACGGCAATGTATACGAACAAAGACAGCAATATACAAACGGGACTATGTTTTAAATATTAGAACACTTTAGGGAAAAAACGACCATGCATTATTTTAGATTAAGGTTTAGACCTTGGAATCCTAGTAAAAGATATAGGCGTAAAATTGTGCGAGAAACTGTTTGTTGTTGTTAATAACCTCTGGTAATCTAATTAAAAAAAGTTACTTTGATTGGCTACTATTTACCGGATATTCAATTATCTCAAAGGGGGCGTATTGAAAAAATACCAATAAAAGTTGCAGGCTCTATATAATAGAGCCTGTGAGCAGGCTAGGCCCTTATATACTTTTATTGTATCTGTAAACTATGTGAAGTGTGAACCATTGCCTCAGCCAAAACACGTTCATGACTAGTGGCAGACATGTTGCAAAATATATGAACATTTAAACCTTTCTTGCTTCAATTAATAGACAGATGGGGAAATAGTCTGGTCAACCCATTGAGCCCCAGCACTCTGCCCTCATCGAGTATAAAATTATCAAGCTGGCGTCAGACAGAGTAAAATAATCTAGAAAAATTTACTGAATATTGAAGTGATGATCATTCCTATGTTGTACAGTACAAAACACAGACAAGAAGGGATATGTATTTTAAAAATGTAAACAATATTCTTGAGACCGCTTCAAACGTTCAAACAAATCTACCAACCTGAAATTCGCACGATCTTGACCTCGATCTTGACTATGATCTGGACCTTGGCAGCAAATATTCAATGCTCTTCCCTTCGAAATGATCTTTCGACAGAATCGACTGTTTAGCTTTAATTTTGTTAAATATTTAATATTCATGTTCATTATTCATATCCAAGCACTGTCCTCACAAAGATTTACCATAGTATAGCTATTATAACGCTAATATATGCCGTTGAATGCGATTTGAATTCAAAATTTATAGATATTGTGTGCCAAAGAAAGAACAATAACCAACTGTTAATGTTTATGAAAAGAAACACGATGATGTCCATGAAAGGACATAATCGAAACAGCTCGCTTCGTGTTCAGTAAAAATAGTACCAACATGCTTTGCGCACCACGACTCCTGCCTGTCGCCATATTTCATATTTGCGAATATTCAAATCGTTTGCATCTTTATCGCCGGAATATTTGAATATTTATTACTTCTCAACGCTGGAAGGTATGTACTACATCAATTGCTATTTATTTCCCCAGAAGAGAGAGTACAATCTCATTATCTCAGGACTATATTGCTATATTGTAACGGAATTTTATTTTGCTGGTTAAATATTTTAATACAACTCGTGTATATAAAAATACATGAGAAAAATGTTGTCTTGAGTTAACAATTTCACAGGATTTTGGCCTCTCTGCAACTGATTTATTTCTCATACAAAGTCAAAATTTTTTCTTCGCTTGACAGCTTTTTGATTGTGTAATATTTTAATATAACAGGATTTGTTTGGACATCTCCTTGATTGAAGTCATTGAACTTATTAAATATCGAATTATGAATGTTGAAGGAGTTTGTACATGGTCTAAGAATAGACTTTTCACATCCAAACATTGCCAATGGATGAGTGGGGTGAGGGCACTGAGGGGCGATCCCTACATGTAGCTTCAAATATGTACCTTGCCCTTGGTCATTTTAACCTCATTTGTATGGCCTGTTCAAATGAGCCATAATAATATTAGCATACAAAATTACATTTTGTTCATGTAATGAAGCACAAACTATTGGACCACTTGGGGTGCTTTCCATTCAATGGCCTGACCGGTCAGACCTGAATACTTTTCTCAGTATCAAAGGAATGATCTGGTCTATGTTTCTCAAATGTCTAGCAAAAATGGACCTTATTCTAATGTTATCAAAATTTTCTGGTTAGATAGGTCCGAAGCCCAAATGTTTTGTGTTTCATTCAAGAATTTGACTGTTCTGACCGGTTTGGCCATGTTAATGGAAAGTGCCATTGGTCAGATCCCAGATTTGTTGAAATGAGAGACTAGGCATTGTCATTTTAATGCGCATTGTGAGAATTATCGGTGTTCTATCAATAGGCATAGCATCATTAAGAAAAAGCTAACTGCAACTACTGTAGGCCAGGGTATACAAGGCACTGACATAAATGTGTCTAATTTGATCCATAATCATTCATTAATAATATCAGTTTTCCTTAGGATTATGTTGATAAGCAATCTTTTGCTTTTTCAAATTTAGAGGGCTATATATAACAAACCAGTCATTGGTGACGCTAGATGGTCTACATTCAAGATTCATTATCGGAAAGGAATCATCAGCAAGAAATGGTCTTTTCATTGGCTGATAAAAATGAACCTTGGGTAGATGTTTGCCAGGTTGTATATTTCTTGTAGCCTTTGACTTGCATAAGGAAAAGAAAATATATGCTGAAACTACATGCTAGATGATGAACTCATTGGTGAAGAACATATTAGTTATGTTTATATAGAAAAAGAACACTGTAAAGTAACCTTGTACTGGACAGAGTAATGTAATAAGTGCAGAGCTCGACACAACTAATTTACATTACCATTTGCAGTTTAAATTGTAATAAATATGATATTTTACATTCATCCAGCTTTACAGTACAAAACTTAAATGTGCTCTACTAACCTACTGCCCTTTCATTATATTACTCTATCTAATAGCATATGAGGTTATATTTCATTAAGGGGTGAGTCTTATTTAATAGTTTGTTTGTGAATTTATTTAGATATGTATCATTTTGATATTGAGCATAATAGTTTTCACCTAAATACATTGTGCTTTATATATTTTCTATTTATGTGTATAATGCTAAGTTGAATAGAATATTATTTTTTGCTAAACTGTGTTGATTTAGGTTATGTTAGATGCCACTAAGATGGTTTCGATTTGTTCAAAACCAGAACAAAAAGTGAGCCTGGATACTTTCTTTTTCTGCCGGAATTATCGCGCTTTCCACCATGCGTTCCCACACGAGCGGACGCCATCTTGGATTAATTGTTCATCTTAAAAAAACCGCCTGTTCTTTCAAGTTTTATGTATGCGCGGAAGAGATGCGCACGCGATGATACTGCTCCTTTAAGGCTTGCTTGGGCTTTGACAATACATAAAAGCCAAGGACTTACACTTCCAAAAGCTTGGATAGATATTGGTAAATCAGAGAGGACTGCTGGAGTTTCTTATGTTGCTATAAGTAGAGTAAAATCACTTGCATCTTGTGTCATTGAACCAATGACATATGAACATTTAACAAGCTTGGAATCTTCAGCTAATTTACAATATAGCTTGAAGAAGAAAATAGGCTAGACAACTTAGCACAGGCAACCTGCAGTGTTACTTAACCTACAAACCATTGAGGTTATTTGATAATACATAGAGATTACAATTCTGAGTCCCCTTACTGTGTAGTATGAACTACACAGACAATACAACTTTAATCATTATATACTCCATCTAATTATTATAAAAAATCACTACTCAGTATGTGTGAAGATACTGCTGATGGTCACAGTAAAAAAGAAATGGTAAGTTTTTTTTATTTGGCCCATGCCCCTTGATTTGCACCAATTTGTAATGTTTTGACTAATATCTTTTTCTCTTCTTTAGTCTTGAATACCTCACAACAAACAGTTAATTATGAGAGATCAACTTTATTGTGCTTATCTGATATCAACTATACTGGATACAATTTGAAGGAATGAAATGAACTTGAGAGCAACGTGATTAGTCCCTCTCAGCTGATGAAGATGATCAGACTTGATTACATTGAAATAAAGTCAGTAATGAATGGACAAGATATATTGAATATTCTATTAGCACAATTCAACTATACTGGATACAATTTGAAGGAATGGAGTGAACTTGAGAGCAACATGATTAGTCCCTCTCAGCTGATGAAGATGATCAGACTTGATTACATTGAAATAAAGTCAGTAATGAATGGACAAAGATATATTGAATATTTTATTCAATTTTACAATTTTACATGGTCATGGATGTGATTATAATTTTAAATTTATTTATAAAAAGAAACTTTCACAAATAAAAACAGTGATTCAAGACATCTTCATAGAAGTATATTCTGTGAACACTAGTACTAGTAGTGAAGTAGAAGTTGTATGATTTATAAATAGTAATAAATAGTAAAAAGTAATAAATATATATACAGTAAAAATGTACTCCAGTGCAATAATTGAAATAGTATAGCTCAGTGGCTCACACGCTGGCTTTAAGAATCGTTGACGCATTTATAAATTCTCTTTCCTTGTTCGATTTGCAAGAAAAGCGTGTTGTCAATATTTGTAGATAAGTAAATCCATTCTTTTTTACATCGATCCATACAAAATGATGCCTCCTTTTTATCCAGAAATTGTTAACCGGGACGATCTATGTATATACAGATTTTCTTATTTATAAATAAACTACTGTTTATTGACCACAAATTTTGCATGTCAAATTGGAAATTTGATTGTATACAGTATGACTTAATATTTGTGCTATAGTTACCAATGTTTGTTCTTAGGAGATTGCTTTTAATAAGTATTGTGATACACATTTCCGCTTTATAATAACTTGCGTTTTTACGAATGATAGGGTGTACATGCCAGTCTGCAATTTATATACACCGGCGGATTTTTAAAATTACAATAAATTCCATTTGAAATCCTCGCCCCCCCCCCATGAAGAAATTACTTGTAGGAATCAGACATTTCGGACCAATAGGAATCTGTCAAATTATGTTTGCCTAGGAATTGGAAAGTCTGAGACAAGTTAGTCTGAGTTTATACAGTGCTTCTTTGTATTAAATAAAGTGAGATGTGTTTATTTTTCTAGTTTTATTTTAATAGCACACATGGAAAACTCACAACAATGTAAGTAAATGACATACCATAACATTTACAAGAAAATACATACTGCTATGGATATGAAATGGTTTACCCTATCCCTGTATTAATCCTTTTTTCTTACCTTGTTAGCTGCAGTTAAAGATCTTAAATACTATGTGCATACAGTGTCACCTCTAAAAGTATCGGCATCTGGAAAGTGCAAATATTTTAATATGACATTACAAACTAGTGATGGCTCGAAAAGTGCAGTATGCTTTTCCCCAGAAAAACGGTCAACTTTGGAAAAGCACCAAGTAGACAAGAGTCCTGTTAAAATATCCAACTTCAAGTTTAGTTCCAACTACAGCAAAGAAAATGTTGTTATTGACCGAGCATCAAAAGTAACCCCAATTGGTGATGATGTTGGTTTTGAACATATCGAGATGACACCCCATCTTCATTGCTATCATTAAACCAAGTTTCCTCCGAGCAACTGGTTACCCTAAAAGCAAAAGTTACGAAGATAAGTGGCAGTAAGAAAATAACAACCTCGAGAAACCCAAATTCTCCATTGGTGAAACAAGAATTGGTCATTGTTGACCCAACTGCGTCGGTCAAGGTAATTTTGTGGGAGCAGTTTGTAGATACTCTAAAGGAGGATCAAACATATGTATTCAAAAATCTACGACTGAAGCGTGAGAATAATGGCTCTATGTATTTGAATACACCTAAAAGTGACCAGTTCTCTTTTGAAGAATGTGAAGAGTTTGCAGAAACTGTTGTCCAAGATATACAATTGTTTTCTTCTGTTGAAGTTTGTGCAAGCATTATTGGAGTGGAGTCAATTTCCACTTATCAAGCAAGCATGAAATGTGGGAAGAAAGCTGTTTTAAAGAATGGAAAGATTTTAAAGTGTGAAGCATGCCATATGCTTCAAAAAATTGCCCCTGCAAACAAACGTTGGTTTTTGAGATGTCTGTTTGCCAATCTGATTAATGAAGAGGAAACAATCAGTTTGGCTATTTTCAGTGAGAATGTAAAAGCCATGGTGGACCTCATTCCACAACCCATTTGTCTGTTTGATGTTTCTCCAGATTACTTGAGTGAGGTACTTCTGTCAATGCCAGATGTCAAAATAACAACAGTGGCAAATAAACTTATTAATATTGCTGACATAGGCATTTAAATTGCATTAGAACATAAAGTGCACACAGGTTGACATTCTTGTTTTGTATTTAGACATTCTTGTTTTGTATTTAGACATTCTTGTTTTGTTCACTTATTAATGGTTTGCAATCAATTTCTTGAGATTTACAAGACAAAGACATGATGGCCATTTTGGAGGAAAACACACTCCAAGTACAATAGCTGTTAATAAGATTCTTTTGTTAGCTTTCCTCCAACATGGCCATCATGACATCAATTGTGAACCAAGAATACCATTAATTAAAGAAACGGATAACTTTGGGTTTTGTACCCCTTTACAGTAACTGTTTAATATAATGCACATGTGATATTGACATTTTCATGAAGAAACTATTGTGGGAACAATAACCATTATATTTTGTTGATACTGTTTTTTTGTGTTGTTGATATGGACATGGTGATGGTGTATTATAAAGAGACCAAAATTAATTAAAGTGTTTTTAGTTCTTTTTACATATCTGTTTCAATGCAAATTAAGTTGTTTTCTCCCTATAAACAATACAACTTTATTTGAATAATACACATGACAAAATACAAGATTCAAATCCTGCAATAGCAAGCTAATCGCGGCAGGAAATGAATCTAATTAAATAATATTATATATATACAACTGATTTATATTGAGAAGAAGTAAAATGAATTATTTACAGAACGAGAGTTTAGATTCCGATTGGCTATGATAATTTTTAAATGAAAAATATTATTCATAACACAAATATATTCTTTTTGAAAGCAATTAGAAAGTTATGATGAGCTGAAAATTATATCGCGGTTACATTGGGCAGCATTTCAATTATCATGGGTACGTCAACATAGTCATTTTGATCTTGAAGTATGGTTAAAAGAGCTTGATGTATTTTAGATTTAAAAGTCTGTTTACGAGATGAGCGAAGATTGAGATCAATGCTATTCCAAATTAAAGTACAGACTCTGGAAAATGAACGCTTTTGTAATTCCAGACGAGAAGAATTGATATATAAGTTATCTTTTGAAACCATTCTTGTATCATAGTTATGATAATTAGACGTTTTGGTAAATAATTTATGCAGTGCTTCAGGCGCATCCCCTTTTAATATATCGTAGAGCATGTAAGCAGATTCTTTAACATAGATCATAGTTACAGGAAGAATGTAGGTAGAAAGGAATAGAGGAATTGTGTGATCTTGAAATGATTTAAAATTCATGAGTCGTAATGCACGCTTTTGTAAAACAAGAAGTTTTTGAATATGAACTTTAGCAGCATTTCCCCAAGCAACTACACCATATGTTAAATATGGTGAAATCAATGACCTATAAATATCTAACAAGGTATGATTTGGGATGTAATATCTCAATTTAGAAATGATTCCTACAGTTTTGCTAATCTTTAATGTAATATAATTTATGTGATGCTTCCAGTTCAAGTTACAGTCAATAATAATTCCAAGGTACTTAACATATTCTTTGCATTCAAGTGGTGTATATTGTTTGGTATCATTATCAAACATTTTAATTACAGGCTGGAAATTCAATGACTTCTGATATGGTCGAAAAATTACAAAATTTGATTTACGTATATTAAGGGTGAGTTTGTTTATTGCAAGCCATTCACAGACTTTCTTTAATTCAGCGTTGACAACTGTTTCAAGCATTTTTAGGTCTTTATCAGCATAACAATAAGTTAGTATCATCAGCAAAAAGAAAGAATTTGAAAATCTCAGATGATTCACAAATATTATTGATGTAGATCAAAAAGAGCTAGTAGAGGTCAAAGAACTGAGCTTTGGGGTACTCCACACAAGGTAGTTTCTTTGTTAGATACACAGTTTCCAACTGAAGTAGTTTGCGTGCGATTTTTAAGATAAGAAGAAAACCAGTTATTGATTACTCCTCTAATACCATAATAATCTAGCTTACCCAACAGAATATCATGATCAACCGTGTCAAATGCCTTTTTTAGGTCAATAAATATACCACAGGAGTACATTTTTCTATCCATATTATCTTGAATTTTGTTAATAATATCAAGAATAGCATGTTGGGTTGAATGTTGTTTACGAAAACCATATTGTGAATCACAGAAAAATTCTTTCTTAGCTAGATAACTTTGTAAGCGTTTATACATAATTTTTTCAAAAATTTTATTGAATGAGGATAGAAGAGATATTGGGCGATAATTATTTGGGTCAGTTTCGTCATCAGATTTGTAAATTGGTATAATTTTTGCAATTTTAAGTTTGCTAGGATATATTCCAGTTTCAATGGAGCAATTAAAGATATCTGCTAAAGGCTTGCTAATAACATGTTGGGGCACTTTTTAAGATTCGATAAGGGCACGAATACAGGCCTTCAGCCTTTTTGGCAGGTAATGTTATAATTTCAAGTTCAATATCTCGAGCTGTTACTGGGATAAAAGCAAAAGACCCTTGTTGTTGGGAAGCATTGGCGGAATTGTACATGATTTGGTCAGGAAGATATGTTGAATAATGTTTTTCAGAATGAGGTATTTTTGCAGCTAATCGTTGACCACAAGAAGCGAAATGATGGTTTATTATGTTTGATATCTTTGTGGGATCAAATGTTAATTGGGCATTTGAATCTTGTCGAACTGCATTGATATTCTTTTTAGTTTTGCTATTGCGCCCTAGTATTTCCCTTATTCCTTCCCACTTTTTACTCATGTTATTGTAATATGAGTTAAAATAATCACAGTAATACAACTTTTTACTTGACCGAATTAAAGTTACAAAATAGTTACGATATAATTTGTATTTTGTGTTATTATTAGAGTGAAATAACTTATTCTTAATCTTTATTGATCGTCTTATCCCTTTCGTTATCCATGGTTTGATTGATTGTTTCAGTTTACGTTTTGAAATAGTTTTAAGCGGTGCATGTTTATTTAGAGTTTTGTTTAATTTATTAAAGAAAGTCGAAAATGCCTTGTTTGGGTTATCGGATGAATTCATTAAAATCGACTCCCAGTCTATTTCTGAGAGCTCGTTATTAAACAAAGTTTCGGAAAATTGTGAATAGTCACGATATTTGTGTTTAAAAATATTCTGCCTCACGCTAGCTATCGAATCTAAAATACAAAATTGTGAAAAGTGGTCACTCACATCAGATATTATATTCCCACTAGCTAATATATTATCAGGGTTATTGATAAATATGTTATCAATTAGCGTGGATGAATTTCTGTGGACACGTGTAGGCTTATCAATGCTAGGGATCATCGAGCAACTTTGTAAAGATAGCATAAAATTATGTGCATAGTTGCATTGGTCAATTTTTAAAAGATCTATGTTGAAGTCACCCATGATAACCACATGCTTGCCTTTTGAGGTATAATATTCTAATTTTTGTTCAAAGTATGTTTGAAACGCCTCAGGCAAATTATGCTGCCTGTATATAACTGAGCATATGATATTTCTTTTCTTTGGAATATCAATTTCAATCCAAAGTGCTTGGTAAGCTATGTTAATTGCCTTTTCAATGACCACATAATTAAATCGATTATTAATATACATTCCAACACCTCCAGCAGCAAGAGGCGTTGGTACAAATTCAAATGAATATCCAGTAATATTATAGTTGAAACCATTAAAATTGTTTTGTTTGATACGCGTTTCTGTAATGCCTATTACACTAAATGAAAAATCAAGCTCATCCAATATTTGAGTTTGCAAATGTTCTAAGTTTCTGCGCAGACTACATACATTATTGTGAAAAAAAGAAAAACGCCTATCACTTGAGCCGTATGGATCACCTTTTCAATTTTAGTAAAGCTCTCTGGAGAATAATATTTACATTTAATATGGTTGCTCATTGCATTTCGATCCGGATTAATATCAGCGTCTGTTTCAATATTAAGATTGAATACGTCTAGATCATACAGGCTAGTAAGTTTGTTCAAATACCTTTCACTGGTACAGTGATCGATAAAAACATCATCACTATATACACCATAGAAAGGTAATTGAGCCAGGATAGTTCTATTAATATGGATTTCTGTTCTACTCATCATTTAAAATTCAAAGAAAAATTAAGCACTTAGCTGAGGTATTGTTAACAGATTATCTTAATGACTCCTGTTCAATTAGGTTGGTCAGGTCTTGCAGTGTTTTTATACGGATTACTCCAGTGTTCTCTAATTTTCTTAAATAAACTTGACTGTTTCTTGCCCAGCAGAACTTATAACCCTTGCTCGTTTTATACCTTTTTGTTTCATACAGAAGGTTTTGTAGGCGTGGTGTCAAATGGTCAAACATGCTAATTCGTGTAGTTGAAGGATAGGCCAATTCAATACCAAGCTGATCGGGCGTGATATTATCTAATGCATGTTTCCGAGCCGCCATAATCTTTTCTTTAGCTAGTCGACGGACAAATGTTAACACATAGCCATTCAGCGAAGAGCTTATATAATTGAGCCAATTCATGATATATTTAAGCCAATCAGCGATTAGTTTACATTGATTGTTTACATCGTGCCCGCATTAATTATAAACTAACCCAATTTATCCTTTTCAAAATGGCGGCCTTTCGTGAGTGGGCAAAATGTTTCAAACAATTTCATTAAAATTTTGAACGAATTGTACCGGTTTTCTATGGATTTTGCATTGTGTCTAACTCTGGGCATTTTTGCTAGTTTAGTTAATGCATTTTTCTTGGTACACGACTCGGAAAATCCGAAATTTGGATCTTTGAATTCCCGTGCACGATCATATTAAATATACTGAATCTGATTATAAACGAGCCCAAGACAATTGCAAGGTAAAAGGTTATAACCTAAACTACACAACGTAGTTTTAATAGATAACTACTTTATGAGAAGCATATTGGTGTCATATCAATATATAATTTATGCAGCAACAGTCCCTAATAGTTAACTGTGGAACGTGAAAACTGTAGTGTGAAATATGATATTGTAATGTCTAATGACAGTGATGACACCTAATGTATAATGGCGCAATAAGGATAAAAATACCATCGTTCGATTCAGCGTAAGAAATTGCATTTACGGATGTCAAATGTATTACTAAACAACAGTCTTCTAGCGATTTATGGCCTTTGAAAATCAAGCGAATTTGTATTGTTGACAAATCGCTCGCAGTGCGTATATATATAGGATATTTGCTGACAGACAGACAAATCACTCGCAGTACGTTTGTCTTTGTATTTGTAATGCCTAATGGCCCAATACGGATAAAAATACCACCGTTCGATTCAGCGTAAGAAATTGTACTTACGGATGTCAAATTTTACTAAACAACAGTATCCCAGCGATTTATGGAAATTGTGGCCTTTGTCTTTGAAAGCCAAGCGAAATCGTTCGGCCGGAACCGGAACTCTGAAAAATCAGGGTTCTGACCGGAACCGAGTTCCAGTGCACGCCTAACATTGGGAAGTGTAAACAACAAGTGACAGAACTTTTTCTGGTCATATGATTACAATAAAGTTTTGAAACTTCATGGTTTGACAAGTGACAGTTTACTAAATAGCTGCACGGCTGTTGGCTGTATAGACACTTCAAATATTGTTTGCATGAGATTTTTATTTTTACATTTTCTCGGCGGGGGGGAGGGCAGTTGTCCTTGCTGCCCTCCGCTAAAGTCTTATATGCTATTATATTTATTATAATAATAAGTGATGAAATATTTCAATTATCCCACGTCATCTTCATTATTCAGTTCTTTTCAAGGAAATACAAAATGTGAATCAAGTTTTTTCGCAGATACATGTACGCTTTGCGTACCTATTTTTTATTTTGCGGGCACATATAAGTAGTAGGTATATTGAGTATAGGCTATGGATCGTGATTTAGGAGAATTTTTTACAAAGTTTGGACATATGCAAACGTTCACAATTGTATGTATTTACAATTGTATATTATTTGTTATTTCTTTAAACTATATTCAGTTATGATATTTTCCTGACATATTTATGTAAATAAATTTATTATAATATTTACTATATATATCTAAATGTCACACAGTATAATCAGTGTAACAAGTTGTTTGAAAAATGTATATATGAGTAACGTGGACTGAATTGGGCAATGTAAGTTGGGCATGTCAGTTGGGCAGCATAAATATTGGTATTTTAGTTTGTATAATACCTTATTGAATTCTGATCGTTTAATTGGCTGTTTATGGTCACGTGATATTGAATAGAAAATTCCATTTCCCAAAAGTGCAATGGAACACGTTGCATTGCACTCTCTGCGAGTACAATGGAATAAAACGTATAGTACAATTGCACTCTTTGTGTTTTCGATAAATCGCATCCCTCGAAACGCTTCTCATACGAATCTATTAGTCTACTTTGATATTATATAAAACAAATAATGAATGTTTTTTCGTGCAATGGTAACAATATTTTATTCGGTGAAAGATGGAATGTTCCATTCAACTCGGCTGTCGTCTCGTTGAATGGAACAGTCCATCTTTCACCTCATGAAAATATTCTTACCATTGCACTCATAAACATTCATTATTTGTATAATATGTATTTGAAGGACTTAGGGAAGGTTAAAATTTCGTTCGACATTTATATAGCCTACAACAGTGGAATAGTAATGTGCATGTAAGTACTCACATGAAAGGACCTTGGCTACGTGTTATAGTCTTTTAGTAAGTAAAACGGGGATGATTTTCATTATAAAAAAAAACAAGTTAGCACAAGTTAAAGTACGAACATGACAGCAAGTGAATGTCATGAAATAGTCCTGCTTAATAATATTTTAATTCAATGCCAGTGTTAGGGCAGTTATATTCAGAAGCACCAAAACTAAGGCGTTTTTTACAATATTTCCAAAAGTTTCACGCGAAAGACGGCGAATAGCTTACTATCACACATAGGTATTGAATGCTGATTAAAAATTCAATTGCATGCTAAAAATTCGAATGGGTGAGAGGCACCTACCCTTAGGAATTCCCTACCACCTCAGATTAGGAGAAGTAGTCCTGTTGATAATTTTAAAAGACTTTCAAAGACATTTATTTAAGAAAGCATATTTGTAAGATAATTTTTTAGACTTTAACATCGTCGAACATAAATTAGGGCCTAATTTTTATACTTTTTCTTGTAATAGGCTAACTCTTCTAAATAGTTTTGTTATGCGCATGCATGTGAACATGCATATATAAATGAAAACATTGCGCACTATAAATGTAAAAATTACTATTATTTAATTATTAAGTTCTTTGTACGTTTGCATGGTGATAAAACATATATAACAGCTTTGTTTGTGGAAACACGACGTAAATTTATTACTGCAAAGCTTTCGATCCGTAAGCCCGGATCTTCATCAGTGCTAATAATATATATATATATATATATATATATATATATATATATATATATATATATATATATATATATATATATATATATATATGCATATTATTAGCACATGATGAAGATCCGGGCTTACGGATCGAAAGCTTTGCAGTAATAAATTTACGTCGTGTTTAAAAAATAAATTTAAATTAAAATAAATTTATAAATTAATTAATTAATTAATTATTATTTTAAATTTACGTGTTTTGACAAACAAAACTATTATATAATTTAATTATTATTATCAGCCAAGTTTAACGTGTGGCACGTGCGTGCGAGTAAAACCTGACTATATTTTGAAAAATGTTAAACTAAACTTCCTATATCTATACGTACTCGCCGCATTCAAACGAAACTTTCCACATAAAAGCGCTTGAATAGAAGGAGTATTTTACTCGATTGACATGGGGCGAATTCGGAAGAGTTTCGAAGATATTCAGAATTGAAATTCAGAATGTTTGGCTGCAAGGGTGAGTAAATATATGATTGTTTCGGTTTGCATAATGTTTTGACGCCATTTCAAAAGGTTATATTTTGTGAGAATTTCAATGGACAGTGCATGCTCTTTGTTTTAAAGAGGGTAAATAGTCTCTGATATATTTAATTATAATTTCCGCTTCTTGAGAAAGATGCACGTGCTTCTGGCGCATAAAATTTTAATTAAATTTTATGAAGAATATTTTATTTACACTTCATGCGCAGAGATTAAATTATATATATTATATATACAGTTGATACGGATCGTTTAATAAACGGCTTAGAATACAGAATCGGTAGAAAACAAATTATAACTAGTCATAATGGTGATAATACATGAGAACACATTAATATAATATTACAGAAGATACAGGATTGCAACAAAATATGAACAGGAAAGAGGAACCAATGGAGCTAAAGAAAAGGCAAAGTTTGGACAGGGCCGTAACTAGACAGGTTATGTATACTCATAAACTCATGTTCACATGCCGTAAAAACAATCGTTTTCAAATAATATTATACCTCAAATTCAAATTGTCCAATGAAAAAAGAGCATTTGTACCACGTGATAATGTGATATTTGCGGTATTTCACTCAAATTCATGATTTCGCAATGCAGCGTGAGATACTATAATATCCCACGGCAGATCCATCGTGGGATGTTATAGCTTAGTATCCCACGCTCACCGGTGACGCGTGGACACAACGCTCTGAAACAATATGGCGTTTGCGAGCTGTTGTTTGTAATTTCGTACAGAAGATTTTATTTAACCAAAGATTTCGCGTAGTTAATATTCAGCAAATTTTAAAGTTTATTCTGAACTCTGTGAGTTCCTTAACTTTCGGTATAATATATCATTTATAGACCCTCCGCTCGGGAGATTCGGCGATATTTCCCTCAGTGATGATATTTTCCACGGGGAAAAGCCCTTCGGGGCAAAACCCCTCGGAAAATATCATCACTTCGTGAAATATTACGCCGAATCCCCCTCTCCCTCTGGGTCTATAAATGATAAAAATCCGTCGCGTAGAACACGAATATATGCATATGCACCCCCTCCCAACATTTATCGCGTTTAGTTACGACCCTGAGTTTGGATACCATAAGACACTCTTTAAAAAACAATTCAGATTCTATAAGGAGCAAAAACTAATTAGTTTAACATCGTCGTGCATAAGATGCAGGTTAATCTATTTTAGAATGATGATCATAGACGAGGAAGGTTTTTTGATTGGTGTATAGGAACGGAGTTATATGGTTACCCTATCATCAGAGGGTGAAAAAGTGTGTTTTCATGATTATTTTTATATTCATAACACGACGCTATATTACTTTATATAGCGCAAAACTCGTAATTCATATTATCCTTATTAATTTTATGATATTTTTTATAGAATCATCGTTCCTCTATTAAATTTCCTGTTTAGCAGTACAGTCTATATATAGTTCATAAAAATTAAGCTGATGGTCATTGCGTTACACCTTTCATATGGTGTTCTAAAGACTAAATTTTTCTAGGTAAATTATCAAATCAATTCAATTACAATTTCACTGTATACGGCAGAAGTTTCAATTCTGTGCCATTGTCTTTGCACTATATTAAAACTATTTTTGTCATTTAATATGACCAACTTTTTACCATGATAATATGCAGATGACAAGCAGTTTCTGAAACTTTATGCCATCAATTGAATGTGGTTGCAAATGGAAATGTCTATTTGACATTCAATTACCACAGATTCCTTTCAGAACTTTAAAAGCTTCTTTCCTCAACACTGGTCTTGTCCAGAAGAAGATAACGGAGTTAAGTATTGTGTTTACTCCAAGGGCTGTTGCATACCAAGCAATTATAACCCTATATAATATTATGTCCTTTTCGAGATAATAAATGTTGAGGAACTCGCCGGGAATACAAAAAATATAGAATGTAACTACAACCAATGCACAAGACTTGGCAAGCTTTAATTCTTTCGGAGAATATCGTTTTCCAACACGTGATTTCGGCTCCTTTTCTTCACTACCTGTGCTGCAGTTGTGTCGTAGCAGTCTTTTCCTTGCTGAATACAAAATGTGTGAGTAGCAAAATGTATGTAGCAACATGGGAATAATTGCGTAGACCGCGCAAAAAATGTAGTAGAATGTTGCAGAAACCACAGCCAGGGGGACAATTATGAATGTTACCAATATAACACAACAAATGTATACCAAAAACATTTTCTTTGTAACGTAGTTGATATGTGCAATTGGATGCAAAACACCCATGTATCTCTCAAAAGTCAACGCGCATAAAGCTGCTAAGGATAATCCCCACGGTATAAATGCTATTGTAGAAAAGAGAAAACTTAACAAACAGTCTGGCGAACCAAAAACTTCCCGGAGGTGAAGGTAGCTAAACAATGGAAGAGTAAGCAATCCAACAGACAAGTCAGCCATTGACTGGATGAATACGGGAAAGTGACAAACCTTCGCTCGCATATGCTGACTTTTCCAGATTGTAAGAACTGTAATACCGTTCAAAAGTATCACAGGAATCATTAATATACACATCGCCACAGATGTAAAAACTTGGTTGATGACATATTCGTTTGAAGGAAATTCGACAATAACGACATGTGTGTAACCGGCTATTGAACACTCTTTAATGAAGTTAGGTGTTGTGCTATTTATTTCCATTTCTTGCTTCTTGAATTTTAATTTTGTTCTTTTTTCAATTCTGCAGTGATGTCAATCTAGAAAAAATAAATTTATCCCAACATTACAATAGGCAATCTATACCAGTATGCCTTCAAATTACAAATACATCATTTGTATATCAGTTCATAGGACCAGCTCGTGGCGAAACAAAACTTTAGCTGAGAAAAATGGTATGAAAACTGTTAACACTCAGGATAAGTTTAGTGATAATTTCCATCATAATCGGTCCGAGTCCTCGACAGACCTGACAAACGTGTAGCTCCGTAGGTAAAGCGTCGAGCTAGCGTTTCAAAGATTGAGCATCTCATTGTATTTATATATTAGCCTACAAAGTGAACAATATCACATAATTACTGGGACCAATTATTTTGGATCTTCCGATTATGATGGGACATCAGTCATTCGGCCTATTACAAAAGTGAAGCCAAGATGTTGCATGGTGCTAAAAGAGACTGTCTAAGGTTTAATCTATTAATCCACCTGGAGCTAACCTGAGCATCAGGCTCTATTTTACAAATAATAGCCTGATACAAACCTTAATCCGATCGCTTTCCACCCACAGCAAAGTTTATATTTAGTATCCAATCAAAAAATTGCAGGAAAAATTTAAATTTCACTATTTTCACACAACGACAACGACAATCTAATTGTAGTTGTGATCACTATAAAATATATCAACAACAACAGTATAATCTAATTAGCACCAACCAATCAAATAACAGATTAAAAAATATTTTGTCTCATAGACCAATCAGATTTACAACCGAGTTTCAGGTCTATTTATTTATTTTTAGGCCTAATCGCAGGTTAACCTGGAGCTAACCCTAGGGGCCCTCTGTGGCGGCGAACGTCATTCCGTCCTGGTAAAGCATAAATACTATAATCTAATAGAACCCGAAAAGCAAAATATTTAGCTCCAATAGAAACCACAATTTTTTAGGTAAGGCTGAAGTCTTATATTAATAGTTATAGTTAGTGAGCAATCAGGCTTATAATATGGTTTTTATATAACTCTTAAAAACTAAATAACCAATTAATGAATTGTTTTCTTAATTAGTGAGCTATTCACAGTGTACTACATTAATATAATAGCTATTCTCAAACCTCTGAATTTGATCGATAAATTATATATATATATATATATATATATATATATATACACTGTAAATCTGGGAGTGTTACCACAACACCGAAATCGGTGTAAATTCTTGCAGCTGTGTGGACACCGATTTAGTGTTTACTTACACTCATTTTGGTGTTAAAATACACCTTTTCAGTGTTAAATAGATGCAGCTGTGTGAACACCGAATTGGTGTAAAATAACACCTCCGAAGATCTTTTCACACTCTTTTGGTGTAAATAGCTTGCAGCTGTGTGAACACCGATTTGGTGTAAATCTACACTACGAGCGTAAAATAACACCTCCGAAAGTATTTTTACACTGTTTTGGTGTAAATAGCTTGCAGCTGTGTGGACACCGATTTGGTGTAAATCTACACTACGAGCGTAAAATAACACCTCCGAAAGTATTTTTACACTGTTTTGGTGTAAATAGTTGCAGCTGTGTGGACACCGATTTCGTGTAAATCTACACTACGAGCGTAAAATAACACCTCCGAAGATATTTTTACACTGTTTTGGTGTAAATAGCTTGCAGCTGTGTGGACACCGATTTCGTGTAAATCTACACTACGAACGTAAAATAACATCTCCGAAGATATTTTTACACTGTTTTGGTGTAAATAGCTTGCAGCTGTGTGGACACCGATTTCGTGTAAATCTACACTACGAGCGTAAAATAACATTTCCGAAGATACTTTTACGCTGTTTTGGTGTAAAGCACCTTGCAGCTGTGTGGACACCAACTGGTGTTAATCTACACTACGAGCGTAAACTAACACCTCCAAAGGTCTTTTTACACAGCATTACGTACTTACTGAATACAGCTGTACTGATATGGTTTGTGATGTAAATGTACATCCAATTGATGTCTAAAGTAGCTATATTCAATATAAACTTAATGTAATGTAAAAATACCTTTTTGTATAAATGCTGCTTAAGATTGTATGTTATTAACTCAATTTAACTGAATTACTAATATTAAAACAATGAAGAGAATAGAAAGTACAAATGTAAATTATATATTTTTAGAGTTTAAAACTATAGTCTATGTTACATATTTCGATTCAGTTGAATCATTTCAACATAGTTTATATCAGTCACAATCCAAATTAAAGTTCATATTACCAGTACAGGCGATTTGAAACCAATAGAATCTTTGCTGAATGGCACTTTGACACAGTCGAAGAAGAACACATCACTATATTGTAGCGCACAAAATCTACAAGGGTTTTGGTGTGCAACTGTCCTTCGTTAAACATTAATGGCCAGCAGGTTCCCTTGAAAGATAATTATTTTGCATTAGAGATTATTATAAAGAGTGCACTGTACCTTACCTTAGAAAGTATCAAACAACTTATAGAACAAACCCAATCTAATTTTTTGTTGGTGACATATCAGAGTAAATATTTGAGATTTGGGTAGAAAGTCTGGCTAAACTATCAACAAGTAACACTTTTTAGGGCAAGTCGAGTGGTTTAGGGCATAGTATGATTTAAACAAGGCACATTGGCAGAGAGACCGTTTAAAACCAATTAACCAGAGGAGTAAACTTTTCTGGGATTAACATTTTTAGTCACAGTAAATAATAAACATAGTACATGTATATTTGGGCACTTTAAGTTTAATTCACTGTGAAGTTCTTTTGTATCATTTCAAATCAATATATTATAAAAAGCATCACTTTATACACAGTTTATATCTTAATTGTGTAAACGTTCTCTGGTTAAAAGATTTATTTATTACAAGCTTTCGACTGCCAGTCTGCAGTCTTTGACGGGTCTCCGTCTGCAGACTGGCAGTCGAACGCTTGTAATAAATAAATCTTTTTAACCAGAGAATCCTGGTTTCGCTTCCAACATTTTTAAAGTTTATATCTTATTTTATATATCCTACATATATTTTATAATCACTCTATATCCAGTATCTGGCCGGGCTACCTTTAGGAAATACCTGGTTGCCAGATAAAACAATTGATCACAATTGACATTCACCTGGCATTTGGTCATTTCTAGGGCTGCACCAGATAGACATTTTTGACATCCAGCCAGATTTCAGCTATGTTGGATAGTTGAAAGAAAGATATCCGCATTATCCGGCTGAATACTGTTGATATAAAACTTTAGACTTTCATTTAAGATAAATAATTAGTTTAATTGATTATAAAATGAGGGTGTTTATAATACTTTGACTTGAAAAGATACTTGAATTATAGGAAATAACTTCATTCTAAACATGGGTATTGCCAAAGCCGTGTCCACAAAGTTCAAAGGTCAAATCCAGTATCTGCCAATATACTGGATAGTAAGATTATCTCACTATCTGCCGATAAAGGGAGGGGGAAATTGCCTTGGGCCCCAACCTTAATAGGGCCCCAACTTGAGAGCCTAAAATTGAGTAGGTCCTTTAAATTGATGAGAGCATTTGTGAAATTGAGGGCCGGTTACAGTAGCTCAACATGCAGTCTAGCTAAGGTCTAGTCATGGGGCCCCCAGAGAAGATTTGCCCAGGGCCCTGCAAATTCTCTCGGCAGCCCTGAGCCTGGATATGATATCCGGTATATAGTCATTTCAAACCTTTGTCCAAGCACAGGTAAATTCACTCAGTAAGAATGTCATTTTATCTGTTCCGTACGGTGGTACATTTTCAGAGGGCAATGTAAACAGCTCTTATATAGCAATAAAGACAGGTGCTTTGAGCTGACCTGCCTGAAAAGTCTCAAGTAAACATGGATGAAATTCTACTTGGTTGTTGGTACAACACTATGTACAATGAACTCTGGTATCTGGGCTACCTCGGTTCCATATAAACACACAACTTGACCAGGGCCGTAGCTAGACCGATAATTGGGGGGGGGGGTATATTCATATATTCGTGCTCTGCCCAGATGGATTTCTTTTGAAAGCGATTGTTTTTACGGTATGTGAACATGAATTTATTTATATGAATATACACCACCCAAATTATCGCGTCTAGCTACGGCCCTGAACTTGATTCATAAGTCATAAACATTTACTAATTATGGCATTATGCCATATTAGTGTCTGCATAGTACTTCTTCAGGGCAATCAGGGGATCATATATAATTTTTGAGCTTGGAATTCCTCAGAGGTATAACTATGAGAAACATGATGTTTGTGATGTTACTCTGAGTGTATATCCACACCGAGCAAGCTTGAAAAATTTATATGCCTGGCCACGGTGGGAATCGAACCTACAACCTTTGGAATACTAGCCCAATGTAGGTACCAACACAGAAAAAATTATGAAAAACATATATCCTGGATGACTTTTTCTGTGTTGGTGTAATGTACTCAGGTGAATATGATGCTTGTGATGTTGCTCTGAGTGTATATCCACACCGGACAAGCTTGAAAAATATGCCTGGCCATGGTGGGAAGCGAACCTACGACCTTAATTGGAATACTAGCCCAATGCTCTGCCAACTGAGCTACACGGTCAGGATATACACTCAGAGAAACATCACAAGCATCATATTCACCTGAGTACATTACACCAACACAGAAAAAGTCATGATCACTAGATTACATTGATATTGAAGGAACTAGATTCCGTTCCGAAATATCACATACCGGTACTCGAACCGACCTGACCGCGTAGCTCAGTTGGCAGAGCATTGGGCTAGTATTCCAAAGGTCGTAGGTTTGATTCCCACCGTGGCCAGGCATATTTTTCAAGCTTGCCCGGTGTGGATATACACTCAGAGTATTACATCACAAGCATCATATATCCTGAATGTATTCAGGGAATTCAGCAATATGTATATTTAGGGTTGTCTGGAATCTATTGATAGGCACAATATAAGGCCAATGAAAATTGATATCATGTTTCTCGTCCCCGCCCGCATGGGATTTATGTGCCGCACGAAAATTTTTTATTATTCATTATTTTTGAAAAATAGGCTTAAAAAACACCAAATTCATCTCCAGATCAAAGTCTTATTGCTGTATTACGCAAACGCAACTCAAATTGTATCTTTCTAAAGATATTACTCGCCAGGATGCCTCTATTTTTCATGTCAGCCCTGGTATGTAAAGAAATATACTGTAGTCTGTAGACTGTAGTGTAGGACGTATTAAATTAAAATGAATTATACACCAATTTTTAATACTTCAGATTTTTATGGAGGTTTTTACTGGGTCAAGGAAATTATTGACAAGCAGAATTCAAGTACAAAAAATAATGAAAAATGAAAAAATCCCGCTCCAAATTTTTGAAAATTGTGGACGAGAAACATGATATCAATTTTCATTGGCCTAAATATTAAACACAGAGGAGGAATTATTCTCCTCTCATACAAAGCCATAGAACTTGCTTTGGCGATTATATCAATATTAGGTAAATGAATCAATATTGATATCGTCTCAATACATTAAACTATATTCATACCTTCTTGTAGCCTGTAGTATTCTAGTTTGTTGTCGTTTTAATACATTTACAGGTATCATGATTTCGACAGTTCGACTTGCTTTGGAGCACATATTATGACAATATTTATTGCTTGGAATTATAATCTGTAAATACAAAGCAATATCACTAAGTTTTAAAGTATTTTCGTGACAAAATATATTGTTGAACCCAATACAAAATACAAATGCGACCAACGGCACGGCGGTTAAAAATATACATGAATACAACTATTTATGGCACATATTTACACACGAAACTTCAAAATATTGACATAGTTTAACACTTACATTTAAGATTATTGTGTGGACCTTCAAAAATTGGAGTATTTCTTCATATTTTCGTAAATATTTTAAGAAAACTGGCCATATAATATTGGAAGTGGATATTCATCCGACATTTCCATATCGTTAAAGTCGTTAAAAATAAAACAGCGTAGATGTAGTTGAATTTCAAGCCAATCCTTCGTAGTGTAGTGGTTTAGGCACCCGTATTGTGTGCGCCAAGTTCTGGGATCGATTCCTGCTCGCGCCACTATTTTATTATTTTTTTTTATACTTTTTTTTTTCTTCGTGATTTTCGCTTACGCACCGCGTACGAAACGTATAGCGTATCGAATATGTTGTTGCTTCGTTCTTAAGAAACAACGCAACTCTTTTAGTGGTTTAGTTTTAGCTTTTAAAGCGTTGTCGGATGAATAGCCGTGAAGCAGGAAGATCCGGTGTCGGACGAATATCCACGGCGTATAATATTTATCAACCAGCGTTATAAAATTTCCAAAGGACGCGCTCGAAATGTGTCCCGCTAAGCCTTCTGGGAGCCCATATATGAAGGCACTGATCTCAATCATGTGAACAATCCAGTGCAAATTAAACTGTATTGCGGGTTTTTGACAGAAACTTATAATTCTAATTTCTATCTTCAAAATTCTAACTGTCTTATTATATCTTGCTTAAACGACAATAATCAAAGCATTTACGACGCAATATAAGCTCCACACCTAATTTTACGAATTTTAGTTATCACGGCTGTCTGACTGTACGTAGGAAATCTACCACTCTGGAGACTACTACGTATCCGCCCCCGTAGAAATTTTGCTAGATTGGATATAAATAATTATGAAATAAACCAAGACGAATTCCACGTAAACTCCTAGGAGTACTATAAACTCAGTTTCAGGCCAATTAAATTCGATAAAATGACTCAGGGCCTCTTTTAACATATAGACTGCGGAGACATGTCCCCCCCCAGCCCTCCTAGTGGCCCCTCCAGTCAGCAATTTTGTCCCACCCCCCAGTGCAAGGTCCCTAAGAACTATCTGCAGTAGGTGGTCAACCAGCAATTGTATATCAAAGTGAGAAAATGATGTTATAAGCTGTTAACATTTCTGAATTTGACTGAAGTCCGTAACTAGCTATGAGTCAACCGAGTCAGTTGCATGCCTCGGTAGGAATTTTGGGGACTGAAATTTGAACATCGCCAGAAACCTAAACCATGGCTGAAATAATTTGCTCGTGGAAAAAGGCATGAAATGGCATTTTAGGTTCTAGTTTAGTTTGTCCAAGCAAAGATACTCCAAAGAGACCACCCTATCGTGCTCTTCAGTGACACTGAGAAGCGAATGCGTCGATATCAAGTACCCCAATACATGTAATACAGTACTGTAAAATTTGAAGTGTGGTGAATGATAATACTATACCACGCACATTTTTATTACCGCCATCATCACATCATGTTGCCTTATTGGGACTGGATTACATTTGGGAGATTGTAAAATTGCAGTAATTATGCCACTGTATATAAAGTTAATTTCTTGTTGGAACACTCCTCAAAATGCTGGAAATAGCCTATCTGAGCTTCAAATTCTGGTGTATGTTTACACTTTACACTATCATGGTGTTATCACATGCACCAGAATTAGCTAGGTACATTTACACCGTTTGAGGGTATGTTTACAGCATAATAGGTGTTAATACTTCGTTTAATTTTCTACTTTACACCAGATCAGTGTATCTTAAAATCGTCTAGTGTAATTATACACCAGGTTCAGTGTAGATTTGCACGACGTAAGCATTCATGTTTTTTACATCATACCGGTGTATATTTACACAATCATGGTGTTATCTCATACACAAGAATAGGCTAAATTTACACCGTTTGAGGGTAAATTTACACCTTAAAAGGTGTTAATACTTCGGTTTCTACTTTACACCAGATCAGTGTATCTTAAAATAGTCTTAGTGTAGTTATACACCAGGTTCAGTGTAGATTTACACTAAGTAAGCATTCATAATTTTACGCCACTCCGGTGTATATTTACACTATCATGGTGTTATCCCATACACAAGAATTGGGTAAATTTACACTTGTTAAGGGTAAATTTACACTGCAATAATAGAGAATACATTAGTTTTTACTTCACCTCAGCTCTGTGTATTTTAACGCGTTCTAGGTGTAATGATACACCAGGAAAAGTGTAAATTTACACTTCGCAAGTGTTGGTATACTTTACACCGAATAAGTGTATATTTACACTATCGCAATGTGTAAATTAACAGGGAAAGAGGTAATGTTACACGGTTCTAATGTAAATCTACACCGAATTAGGTGTGAATAGAATATTTTCTACTTTACACCTAGTAAGTGTTACCGAGACACTAAAATAGTGTAAAGTTACACTGTGGAAGTGTAATGTTACACTCGAACGGTGTTTAATTCCGCGTTACACCTAATTAGTGTAATGTTACACCTTTTTGGTGTTGCCGCAACACCGCGAGATTTACAGTGTTGGCTTCCATGTGAAGTATAATTGACGAAATAAATTAAAGAGACGAATGTCTTTAAAAAGGCATTTCATTAATAATGATAATTATATTTGCAACATGAGACCAATGGAATGCAAATTTGTTGAAAAGGAGATTTTTTACAAACTCGCGTATTAGTCTCTCAAAACCAATCAGATCGCACATACCGATTGCCAAATATACGTATTGTCTAATAACAAGTGGCGGTGTGTTTCTTTAGAAGTTTGTGTTATGGTAAGTTCAACAGTTTCCAAGTAAAAGATCCTCAAACATGGCAATTTCGAAAACAAATCTGCCACTATATGGAGGTGGAAGCCATTTCAATTGAGAAATCGTAGTTTATATAACATATTCTGAACAGACTTTATTATGAGAGATTACGTTTTGGTTTTGCAAGAATTAGCGAGGATTTTTTTAAAATTAGTGTGGCAAAATTATGGGCGATAATGTTCGTGCTGAGCAATCTGTAAACTGCCATTTTTGCGTTTTGCTTTGAAAATGTGCGATGGACACTGTTGTGCAGCATATATAATACGACGCATGCACACGAAGTAGTTTTCACGGGGGCCACGAAAGACTAACAAAATTGTAAATCTACTACTAGGAAATAATTTGCAATTCAATAATCGCGAACGAACGGAAACTTTATACAAATTAGTTTATTGAGCCGTTTTATTTTGGCGTATTCCTAAATTTTGAAGCGTATTTCAAATTCAAAAATTTATATGTCTGTCAAAATTACATGAAAGTTGAAATATTAAATACCAAAATTGAAGTAGTCCTCTTGAATATAATGATATACTTAATATGTAAGTGTAAAATCTGATCTAGTTTTCGCGCTATAGGTTGAATCAAACAGCGTAACTACGCCTGGTATATAAATGTCTCTTGCATCTCATTTCGATTGGATATTGGAACACCAGTTTTAGTTTTTGTCAGACACTTTTCTGTTAAGAGATGAACTTCTTACATGCACTTTCTTTTACAGCCAGGGATGCGACAAATTAGAGCATATTAATGTATCATGGTGTGGTCAAATTACGCGAAATGGTGTTAGGATTTTATCGGAAGAATGTTCACATTTAAAAAGTTTTATTTCAAAAGGATGTACATTAGTAAGTTTTTGGTATGAATTATTATTACTTGCATGCTGTCTCTCGACGGAGAAGTGCATTGACAAACAACAACATCCTGCATGCATGCTATGAACAACTGCTACAGCGTTTAGTAACTAAGAATCTAGGCTTCTCTCTGCCGAGTTTACAACGGCAACAACAACGGCAACAGCAGCGGCAATAACAACGACGACGACGACTAAAGCTATCACAACAACAACAACAACAACAACAACAACAACAACAACAACAACAACAACAACAACAACAACAACAACAACAACAACAACAACAACAACAACAACAACAACAACAACAACAACAACAACAACAACAACAACAACAACAACGAAAACTAATACATATATAGCATTTCGTCCGCTGAGGAAGCGAGAATCCTTAGTTATAAATTGAGTTATAAAATACTACGATTAATTTTCGTTTGTATCAACCGCTTGGGTTCGCTTCTTCACATATCATTTAGCTCCAAAGTAAACCATGGAAATGTTATCTGATTTTCTTATTACAGATTCAAGACGAAGGAGTACAACATCTAGCAAGAAATTGTAGAAATTTACAGACGCTTAATTTGCACAGTTGCGAGGTACGATTTTTCCAATCTTCAACATTCTACTGTATTCAACTATTCATCGGTAAGATGTCATAAAATTCGTTCACGTCTTATAGAAGATATAATGTCATACAGCAGTAACAATCTTCCACTTTGGGGTCCATGCTATTGTAGTTTTACTATCCCAACGTAGCCCCCACCCAGAATCCGAAACACTAAAGCATGGATAATTGAACTTTACACTTCGCTATAATACTTTTCTTTCCCCGCGGCTATAAATAGCCGATCGCTATCACGGGCTTCCGCCCTACGCGCGTGGCTCGGGGATTAACCTTTTAATGAAAACCGCTTCATAACTTTTTATGCATTCTCAAAGACAGTAAAATAAAAATAAAAGACCATATCCCATGAAATAAACATTTTAAATTTAAACGTCACTTCATTCAAACGAATTCGATATAATGGTAACGGTTATCAAACGGCCGTTTTTAGCTAATTCTTGACACTTCCCAAAATGTTTACTCACGTTAATATTACGAAATTTGATCAAATAATTGTAAGTGTCGCAATGTTTTGTCCAGAATTTTAGGCTGGGGGGCTTATAAGAAGGCTGGCTAAATAGAAGCGGAGACTGGCTAAATACATTTGCACACTCTTTAAAAAACAACAATTTTCAGATTACAATTTGCTCTATTTAGCCATGTTGGTGAAGGTTAAATACACCGCATTATCAGTGAACGTTAGTTGTAGAACGTTTGTGTTCATAATTTCGCTTTATATCGAGAATGATTTTATTTTTTCTCCACATATTCTTGACTGGGGTCTATTTGAAGAGGTCTCGGCTAAAACATGTTAGAGTTAGTTACATGTTATATATATATATATATATATATATATTAAGATGAAAATGTTCTAGAGTGTGTATTATATAATTTCCATACCCAGCGCAAGCAGAAAGATGTTGTCTGCCGCGGCTGGGTTTTGAACCCGCGACCTTCGAATTACGATTGTCATATAGTATCGGTCCATTATAGTGTACGTTACATGACGTAGTACGGAGGGGCGGAGCGAGGAAGAGAGACTTGTCAACTTCGGAAAATCTCGGTTCAAAACTGAACCGAAAATGCAAGACTTGCTTTAATTGTTTTCTGTCAGTGTGTTATGTATTGATCTAGCACAGTGTAAATAACATGAGTTCCATTATAGTAAATAATACAGAAAGAAATTGAAGGAAAACAATTAAAGCAAGTCTTGCATTTTCGGTTCAGTTTTGAACCGAGATTTTCCGAAGTTGACAAGTCTCTCTTTCTCGCTCCGCTTCTCCGTGCTACGTCATGTAATGTACACTATAGTGGATCGATACTATATGACAATGAAAGAGAGACTTGGAGCAAGTCTAAGAATTAACCGGACTTGACGACAAGGCTAAGGTTGCCCACAGGACAGCTCAGTTATGGATATTAAACGTTCCTAATTCTGTTTGTTCAACCTAGGAGGGTTTGGAAAAAAAATGTTGAATTTTGAGCCCCGAACCAGAATTTCTTGCATTTTAGCTGGTTACCTTGCAACATAATAGAATGGTGTGTAATAGTGTGTTCAACAGCATTGCAGAACACGTTCGTTCCAAAACCGTACTTTCTTCGATGACAAAATGGTAATTTTTCCCCGCCTGGTGGCTTGAGTTCCCCGCCAGGTGGTCTGTAACCTACCAGCCCCTCTGACCTTTACATTATTCTTGGGATTTCTGAGTTTTCTAAGTGCCGTATTTGCAATGAAAAGGGTTCAAAAGGTTTAGCTTCATTTTCCATGGTATATACAGTTACCAGCATTAAACTTCAGACGTCCATCTAAAATAATTTCTTTTGGCGTACCATCTAAAATCATTTCATCTTAGCATTATTTTACAGATAAACGTGCATTTTAAGTTTGTTTGCCGATTTAAAAACGTCTCAAAATTGAGGCATTTTTAATGTAGTCATAACCATGCAAGTGCATAATGGTACAGTCCATTTCACATACTTTTTCCCTAAATGTTGCGAACTTCGTTCCCAACTTCGTTGTGAAGTTCAAAAGTTCACATTGAAATTCATCAGCTGGATTGTAAACAAAACCTCTGCATGATTGGCCCCTGAACTAAAAGAAGCAAATCAAATTCATTGTTTACAAACGGTTTGTGAATATATGATTATGAACTTTTGAACTTTTGGAAATTCTGGCTTTTAGTCAGAGATTCTGGCTTTTAATATCCTGGCCTTTAGTATCCCGAATATACCTCGGGGATTCCGGCTTTTACTCTTTCGGGGTTTTCCGTTCTCGAATTCCTTTCCCCAATTTCCCATTCCTTGTGGCTTGTAGAAATAGCCGCGGAAGCATAGACGGATTTTCTGGGGGGGGGGGGCCACCCCCCCCCCAATATTAGCTATAACCCCCTCAAACAAAATGTCCACCCCTCCAAAAAAATTTTCAACCCCCCCAACATTCGGCATAATAAATAATAAATAGTCCACTCCAACGTGCAGAGTGTTGATGATACAAAATAAACGTAGGAGTACACTCAAACAGAAAAAGACAGTGCAATACTCTGAAACTAATCACTCTTCGCTTGCATTCACTGGTTTATTGGAGCAATTGTAACGTTTTGAAACTCTATTATCTTCCCTGAATAGAGTTTGCAGTGCCTTGTCATGCGAATAGCTTGCACGCAAGGAACGTTTGGAATTTTTACGAACACTATTTTTAGTTTTTATTCTTTTAGGAAATAGACTTGCCTAGATTTAATCTTTACGCCCCAAATATTATTTACATCGGAGTTGCATCATAAATTGTACTCGGATTCAAACAACACAATGTCAATGATTTTATAAAAGTAAAAGCATATTGTGTATTGGCCTATTGGGTTTACACTTTTACAGGTTCATTTCACTTTAAGTCTTTAACTCTATCAAGTCTCAACAGACAATCGGACATGCCAAATCCATTGATATGACAAATTGACCACTTCAAAAAACTTTTTTCGAAGCTAGAAATCATGATTTTTTTCAAATTTTTGCTGGGATACTTTGTTTTCCGCTCTCTAGACTCCCCCTCGCGGCTCTAGTGCTCCACCCCTAGAATATAGACCTTACTGGGGTTTGGTGACACTTTGTCTTGCTTCAGTCACCTGCTCACGGCTCACCCCCCTAAAATTTCTGGCACCACCCCAGTAATAAATGTGAAAATCCGTCTATGCGCGGAAGCCTACGCTGTAATAAGCAGAAACACGTTTCGTTAGGGGTCTGCGCATTCACGAAGAAAAGCTTGCGAGCATTCTCCCTCGTGTTATTTTTCCTTAATTAATGATTTGTTTTATTAAATTTTTTTATTTTCTAGCTTCTAACAGACATAGCGATAAAAGCTGTTGGTGAAAACTGTTCAGATGTCCAGTTTCTGTGTGTATCAGGATGCCTTCATCTCACCGATGCTTCATTACAGGCGCTTGGTGAGGGCTGTCCACATCTTAGGTATGTGTTGGCGATATTTACAGTATGCATTGTTTATACTCTGGCGATGGCATGCCGGAGGTTTAAAATGGGTCGTTTTCTGTTGTTTTCGCTGTCAGAAACGTGAGAATTTAGCTAAAATGACGCTCACTTTTACATCAATAAGACTGTAAAACACGTTTGTACATATATATCTTGTTGAATGGTTTGACATATGATCCGGCCGAATAATTTACGAGTTTCGAACGTATTTTCCGAGCCCTGTAAGGGCGAAGAAAAGTGCGGGAAACGAGTAAAATGCTCGGCGGGAATATATGTCAAAGTTTTCAATGGGATTTTTATAATATGACAAACCTCAAAAATATAGATTTGCTTGTCTTTTGTAAGGATTTGCATGCGTTTAGTGCAAATAATTTCAGATTTTCAGATGCAATGAAAATAAATATCCTGAAACAGGTTACGAAGTTGCATACCAAATTAGGAACAACATAACACTGACGTCGTTTTTTCTTGAATTTGATTGGATAAAATATCACAAACAACGAAAACCTGTCAATCAAGTTCCTCAACCAACTGTTTTGAGTTGATTGTATGAAATATGCCGATTTAAAGTTGTTAAAAATGGCGAGTTAAGGAGGCTCCCTACAGTTGACCCTATTTGCCCAACATCTCTGCTGTACAGGTCTATTAATGCAGGTCGTGCATTCGTTTCCACTTGGAGGCAATATTTAACATCAGTGGAACATTTAGAACATTAACAATGTCATTGTTGCCATAGCAACATGGCCTATAAAACCGGCTAATTTTAGCCACAAAATTGTCTTTATCTGAAAAATAAATCTGGTGACCTATCTTTTTTATTTCATATCAATAGAGCGTGATCCCCTGCAACTATTGTGAAAATTTAATAAAATTCTTTACAGTGCGATTTGTTTTAAAAGCGAAAATTTTATAACAAGATTTCCACTGTAAAAAAAATTTTTAAATTTGAAATATATAAAATTTACTAAATTTAAAATTTGTGGTCAAAATTTGAGTAAATAATGAGTAAAATGCAACTCAAATTGTAAAAAAACCTCGTGTAACTCGAGAAATTCCCCGATAAAAGCGTTGCTGACTAGTAAAATAATGATTGTAGGCGCAGAACGAGCTTTCATCCAGCAAAATTGAGTGGTAATATTTGTTTTTGTCAACTTTTCGATTTATTTGAATGCCATAGACAGCCAAGAAATAGTGTGAAGGATCAAATCGATGAAAGCACAAAACTTCTATAAGGTTGAAGCTAATTGAACCCTGCCGTTTACTCAATCTATGAGCTGTAACAGCCTTAGATTATAAAACGACCCATCTTATGAGTTCGTTTGGCGCAGTAATTTTAAAAATAAACATTGTCGAAGCCGAGAAAATCAAAGCTGAAGTTTATGTAAATCAGAACAAATCTTTATGCGATTTACAAACATTGATTAAACATTCATTTCTTTTGAATTTTCTTCATGAATTATTAACGAGTTTTATACACGTCTATTAAACGTTTGTGTACAATCTTGCAAGTGTTTTACATTTGACAGTGTATATTTTTAAAAAATTAAAAAACATTGTTTCGTAGCTATTTTTGGTCTAGCGCATGATATTCGTATCATATGTAGAATTGCTGTATAGACCAGTGGCGTGCTGGCAGGGGGGGCCGGGGGGCCACGGCCCCCCCAGCTGGCAATTCTTGGGGGGCGCAAAAATGAAAAGGGGGCGCCGAATTTTGAAAGTGGGTGTGAAAGTTGTAAATGTATTCAGATTACTAGATCAGTAGAGAATAGAATTGGGATTAGATTAATCGCTTGAAGTACTACTACTAAATTCAAACCAAATTTCAAATTTCGACACGTTATAATGCCGTTTTCTGACCATCAGATTTCTGTCAAGTCTTCCCCCAAAGTCAAGGAAATGGCATTTCAGAGACTCTAAATTCAAAAATTTTCCTGGGGGGCATGCCCCCGGACCCCCCTAGACAAACCTCGAACCTACGGCGCTCGAACCTAGGGGCGCATATTGGTTGACAACCCATTGGCCCCCCCGGAAAAATAGTACCCAGCACGCCACTGGTATAGACTCGCAATTGATTAGTCTCCCTCGCAACCGCTGTTTATGTCGAGGTTTCTCCCCACGAGCGGCGACTCACTCAAGCACAATATTCCATTCCCTTTGTCTTACGTTAGCCAATCAGATTTAGCGACATAAATATCTAAATAAATTTAGAGACATAAATATCCTAATAAGTCCAAGGTCATGTTTCGGAAATTTAGAAGCATTACTGTGATTGGTTGTTTTCAGGAAAGGGGAATGTTGTGCTCGAGTGAGCAGCCACTCGTGGGGAGAAACCTCGACACAAAGAGCGGCTGCGAGGGAGACTAGCAATTGATTCGGCACTGACTCAAAACGAAGTATTATTCAACGCTTTTTTTTTCATTAGAAACCTTCAATTTTTGTCAGTGCAGTTGCGTGGGATAGTCCACGTACTGGTCCCGCGAACATCCCGCATGCTACTGTAGGGAGCCTCCTTAAGTGAAGAAATAGTACCTAAACAACAGATTTCTTTAACTCTTTATCGTTGTAACCAATAATTTCGAAAATACTTTTCAAATTGGCGATTCTGGAAGAGAAAAATGCAGTTTAAGGCGCAACAATGACTGAAGCTTTGAACGAGCCTAATATATTACATCCAAACGGTCTAATTACTTCAAAAATGTTCAAGTAAGTTATCATGATTTGTTTTCGTTGAAAACTAGTTTTTGAATTTCATTTAGAAGGTCGAACTTTTGTTTATAGCATTTTTGCTGCTATTTTGCTCAACTAATTTAAAAATAAATACCACAAACAGCTCGCAAGTTTGCTGTTTTACTCTTGCAGTTTTATAGCGTTATTTCATTACTGTTTAAGTGTTCGTAACTGAACATTATATTCGAGTCAGGGAGTCGGCTTTGACCTAGTGTTTTTCGGTACTGTGTTTGTCACAGTGGTTTGTCACTTTTTGGCAATACGGCTTTTTACCGTGTAATCCGCTCTCAGATTTTTCGTGTTCTCATGACCTTACTTGGTAAAATCGCGTCATTGTCATATAATAAATTTATGTACGTGACACTTGATCGGTGTGATCATTGTGGGACATATTTCGCTTATTACGCATGCGCAGAGTTCCGAACACCTATAAAATACGGTTTATAATAAACAATCTTTTGTGAACGTTATTTTCAGCAGTTTGCGTGACATAAAACTGACATATTTCCAGGCAGCTCGCGTAATTTTGAAAACGTGTATAATATTGTTCGATACTGATAAAACAAGATTTTGGCCTGGCAGGATTAACTTGTGCCTAGACGGCAAACATGGCTTATTTTGCTACGAAACACAATCTTTCCTCTCGCGAAGCTTTATTTCTCTTGGAGACGTTATAATGTGCCTGTAGTTGTGGGGAAATGTTTTGCCTTCAACGAGTGCAGTTTTAATTTGGCGAACTGCTCTGATAGACCACTGAAATATTGCGTTTACGTAGTATATGTGTACTCTATATCTGTGCGTGATTGAACTTAGATCCTGAATGCATAGATGTTGCTAAACAACAACATCAATGACGAATTTACAAACTAAGACGAAAATATTTACATTTCAGCAATGAAAAAGCACTGCGTAAGGAAGGAAATAGTGTATTTGCTTATCGCTTACCTTAAAAATTGTTTATAATATATCCTCCATCGATGTAACGGCATGTTTAAAAAAAATTCATAGCATTTTTAAGTTTATTTGATGATATAATCTTTTACGCTTCATGAACCACTAGATTTTTTATTTTGTTGAAATAGGACTATAGAAGTAGCGCAGTGTTCCCAATTGACTGATGCTGGCTTTAGTAAATTGGCGAAGGTAAGATGATTTTTATTAGAATTTTTACCTAATAACTTATAGACATGTCTACTTATTGCGACGCGGCTAAGCATGACAGTATAATAGACTGTAACTTGCTGTCAAAGTTTCGAACCAAATGACGGCTATGGGAGTGAGTGATTTTGTTTTGACGAAATAGCGGATTTAACAACTTCTTGTATCCACTGATAATTTTTATCTACAGGCAAATAACCAACAAATTTGAAACCGACAAATTCAAATTTGTCAATGATGTTGTTTTGCAATAACGCATTGACAATGATATCTAGTTTATTTCGACTGAAATTCACAGCTTTTATATAATTGGTATATTTTGTTCGAATTTTTCAGTAGATAACTCGCGTCTCTTTGAACGAATTTCTAAGCCTAAATTGTTTTCTTGATTTCAGTTCTGCACCTATCATTCTTTGCGAAACGTGTTCACATGTCTCCTTGTCAATGCATTTTCTTCGGCATTGTAGCACAGAGCTTCATGAAATCACACCCAGTGGAGAAGCTAGCCATGGCAACTGATCATGCTATGCTAATAAACGTACATCTAAATAAGACAATACATTTCTATAAGTATGAATAATGAAGTCATTAAACATTTGCATTGCATGACCTGTTGCTATATATGCATGGCTAGCTCTAAACTGATCACACCTACGTATGGTTAAAATAATGCTTGGTTGTTTTCCAGTAGATAAAAATATCGATGGAATGTGAATGTCAAAAATCCACTATTCCTCACTGGAAAAAAAAAGTGAAATTCATACTACGAAATTTGCAATTGCACCGCTAAATCCACAGTATATCCATACTATTACCATACTATATCCATACTATAGAAATATACAATTATTATGGTTAACCAAAATCCATTCTATTTCCAATAAATGTCCATACAATTTTCATTTTATGACCTATGGATTTTCAAAATCTTTTCCAGTGCCTTCTTCAATTGATTCGAAAGCAACTTACAGCTTCCTTCCGTCATGCTTAGCTGGGATGATTAATCAGAGTTTCTTAAAATGTCGCTTGTTGCCACGTTCAGCTGTAATAAAAGGGATACAATGAATCACTTATCTTGAACAAGTGACGTTAACAGTGACATTTTAGAGTGACATTAATTACCTGTAATAAAATGTTTATAATGTTTGTTTCTGGAAATGACAACAATGATTCTCCTTACTGGAAGTGAGGATGAAGAGCTCATGAAATAAATGTGCTTACCTCTTTTAATATGTACGCTGCAACTTCGTTATAATTTGATGGAAACAGACTAGTTCAAAGTGACACCGATATTAATTTGTCTCGTACTACATGTCGTTTCAAACGAATTTCTGGTCGGAACGAAAGATTGAAGAAAATATCACTAGTCGTCAGGATTGTATCATCAGTTGTGGGGCTTCGGTGACGAAGTGGTTAGCGCACTTGCCTTTCACCTCTAAGGCCGCAGGTTCAAATCCCAGCAAAAACCTTCCCAATGCGATTCAAAGCCAGTCTTTATGCGAAAAGAGTAAAAAGTCAACGCTATACCGAAAGTTGTGGGTTTTCTCCGGGTACTCCGGTTTCCTCCCACAGGGAAAGTTGACAGGGTGGGGTAAATGGGCCCACAGTAATTGGCATATGCTGTTGTGGTGACCCTGCCCTAGTTGGCAAAGCTAAATAAATAAAGAAATACACGTAATGCATCAGGACAAAAAAACGCCATCCGGTCGCAAAATGTTCGATTGGTAATGTTTATTCCAATCTTAACGATATGTCACTAGAAGCAATCAGGTACAAACTGATGACAAAAGGAATGTTAAGTTTAATTAAGAGAGTATAGCAATTGTCTTGTAACGTTTTGCTTAATTATTTGCTTGGTTATATGTAGGGCTGTCATAATTTAGAAAAAATGGATTTGGAGGAATGCGTAATGGTATGTTTTTTTGCCAAATTTTCTTAACTGCGTGGTTATGCACATACGTTTCAAAATTATATAAGGCCAAATAAGCCATGCACAATATTTCCACAATGCCGTTAACTGTTCAGTAGCAATAATTCTGGGGATCTAATGAGGAAGCTACACACTGTAAAACAAACTGGTTAAAATTACAAAAAAAGTGGTCGTTTGGATGCATCTGAGACAACCGGTTTGAAATGGGTCGTTTTAATTTAATCAAAAAATTGGTTAAAACAACCAATATGTTTTGGTTGTTTTGATTAATAAATAAATTGTCAATTTGAGTGACTATTCAGTACATGATAGTATTGTATTGGGGAAGTTTTAGGGATGCTCACGGGAGGTATTGTGCATGACGGCCAAATCCGCTTGTGCCCTTTCATTCTTATTTAATCTAAGCATATTACTACTCACATCAACGGCAGTGTTTGGTTACTCTTCGCAAATGTAGAATGCGTTCATGTAGGAAAATGTCAGTGTTCTTACTGTGATCGCTGGGTCCCCAGAGTTGCAAAACCTGTTCAAATTTCTTCCGGGTAAAATTTAAAGTTTTCAAACCTTCCTCAAAATAAATTGAATAAATACTAAAATATTGCTTCATCAAATAGCAATATGCTAGAGTATATAAACTTAACTGATTCTGAAAGCATAAAGTTCGAAAGAGACGTGTCGTTAAATGCAGTACATGATTCTAATATATAACTTGCCGTATAATATATTTATACTTTGGACAAATTGGACAGTCCTTACCTACTATACGTCTACATCTATATGATATATTGAATATAAAAGAATATAAAAAAATACAGTCATGTGATGGTTTCTGAATCTGTAATAAAAAGCACAGCGGTACACGTGTAAAAAATTGAGAAAATCAACAACTTGTTCCCGGTTGATATTGACAGGCCTGAACAAGGGTGTGCTGCCCACTATGAAAAAGTTGTCAACAAAACTTGCAACAACATTGTTGACAACTTGTTCATAGTGGGCAACACAACCTTCCTGTCGATATCAACTGAAGTTGTTGATTTTATGCCTGTACACATATTATATAGAGGTCAGCAGTAAAACCATGGTAACAACATTCCAGAGGTGGTATTTGATGTTTCTATATACTTGTGGTTTTGAAAGGCATTTGAGAGTGTTTAGGTCTTTAGAAGTGTGACCCAATCGCCCAATTTTACAATCAGCGAGGCAGCGCTCTCACTTGTTTCCGAAGCAAAGTGCTAAATTTAAACCATGCAGTATAGTGCCCTGCATTGCGGTTTATAATCAATGGCAATGTTTGGAATGATTGAAAATCAATGGCAATGGCAATATAATCTCTATAACAGATGCTGCCAATCCTGCCATATACTTGTGGTTATCTTATAGTTTGTGGGAATTGACGGTGTAGGTATCAGCCATGTAAACAATGATTTCGATTATAGAACCTTGATACATTTTGTCGATCTGTATTAAATATGTATGACAGCTACACACCTCAGTAACCAAGCTGTATTATTTTCGTCAGGCATTTCAACATTTCACCTTGGCCATATTTATATAATTATTACAACGTTTAGTTGCTACAGCAATGATGGTTCATTTCATTTATAACTATTAATTTTTCTCTAAAAATATTGGAATCATGTAATCAAATAATCTCTGAATAATATAATAATGTTCAATGTGAGCTTCTTATTGTGACCATGATGAATAGCTCTTAGTAATAGCCTCCTGTTATTTGCGGTGCAATGGTTTAAGGCGCCTCTGATGCTTGACACTTATACATTTTAATTTTACAGAATATTTTCAGTTATTGTCTTCTCAGTATTCTCCAATGTCATAGTCATATGTTGTAGGTACTATATCACAATAGTACCACCACAACTTGTCAGCCTCAACTGCCTATTCATGATTTATTTGTTTTACTTTTTCGATGTTAGCGACTGTTGATGGTAAACCTTCCTCGCGGGTAATGCCCGCGTGCCCGCAGCTTTTTTGCAACTCTGGGTCCCTCGTTGCAAGCAAACATGTTTCGATTTGATTACCACCATAGCAATATGCATAAGTGTAAAATTATTTCTTTCAGAATTCCAAGGGTCTAGGCAATAAGTCTGATTGATGTCAATATAGAATCATCCATTTCAACCAAATTTATATTGAATACACTAAAGACAGTGCAATATGATCAGAAGTCTTGTGCTTCTGATATATAAACAAGTTGGAACGGTGGCGTTTTACCTTTTGTAATTTTATTGTTCAATTTCACGATTAGAAGACAATATCTTTTTTCCCTTTGGTCAATTTTTCTGAATTTTTTTTAAAGATTCATAGTTGATACAGGAATAACATATGAGGTTTATAAGGCGGATTTCGAGATACAGAAAATCTGAAAATCTCTTTATAAACTTTTCAAAACATTCAACTAGACTTTGAACTAGAGTTTCGTTCTTGTAGAAATAACTTAGCACAGTTGTTTGTTGTATTCTACTTGACTTGACCAGCTTCATTTACCTCGGACCAGACGTCTCTGAAACGGTCCTTGTTGTCAGCATGGCTTACTCCAGACATAAATTTATCATTTTAAGGAAGACGTCAATTAGAGTAGATCTCTAATAATAACTGATAATCTCTTAACAGCGACTGGTCTGTTCTTATTGTGGCACTAAAAGAGATAAAGCGGGGTTATCTTTTTTACCGAACTTTTGGTGAATTCAACGGAATTGATATTCTTTTATATATTTCAGATTACAGATGCAACCCTCACTAACCTTTCCACTTGGTGTTCAAATCTTCGTCAACTGGTAAGATTGTGCGATTTCAAGTCTTTAAAATTCCTTTGCAAAATATTGGCGGAGGGAAGATTAGGAATTCATATTCCCGTCTAGAGATTACAAGTGGGAAAATTTGATATTCTCCCAAACGTGGAGAAAATTTTTTTGTCCTTTTTGAAAGAATCGTCAAAACTGTAAAGTAACTTCCTTTATAGAATTTTGTTTAAAAAGTGTTTTGCAATTTGAGGCCGATAGGTGGTCAGATACAAATGGCACCATATACAGAATCGAAAATTTGATTCATTTTAACTTACAAACTAAGCTAACTTACATTCTATAATTTGCACAACTAGCTAACTAATAAACCTACAGAAAGAAACAATTTTTTCAAACATTTCCATTTTTTCAAACATTTGCAGAGTTTGTCTCATTGTGAACAGATCAGTGATGACGGTATTCACAGATTAAGTGCAGGACATAATGCTGAAGAATACCTCGAGGTTTTGGAATTAGACAATTGCCCATCGATAACAGACACTGCGCTATACCATTTGAGGTACGTTTCACTGAGGTTTCTCGAAGACGAGCACCTTATAGTGTGCGGGTAAATTTAAGTCGACATGTTTTTCGGGACAGATTCAAAAGCTATGTTGAAATCATAGCCAATGTCATTACCATTTGAAGGTTGTTGCTCCCAACAACCAAGTATAATTTCAGACTTTAGGGTTTACCTCGCTTTTCTAGTGTCAGTGAATGAGTGCAATCCCCGAACGAATTACATTTACGGCTCAAGGTTTCTACATTCCAGCCTAGTACCTTCATCAATGGCATTTTAAAGTCACAATGTGCCTTGTATAGACTACAAACACTCATTATTATCCAATTTAGTAGGAATATTTGGCATATGTCACAGATTAGAAATACAACCAGATGTCTCACTCGGCAAAAATTGTGCCCAAGATTTTTATACGCATGCGCCTGCGCCTTTTTGCCATAAAAAAGTTCCACGCCATGAAAGCACGTACTGGATTTACGTGAAGAAAAGATACAACTTTTTGTCTTATTTTGTTGTTTTTGAGTGAAAAACACGAGTAAAAATGCCTGAAACGTACGAAACGTTTCCAAAATCAAATATATTTGTTTCAATTTGTTTTGCTACCCTTGCTGGACAGCTAACTTTCCGAAGGGACAGCGCTACGAGTTAAGGTGTGTTTTGTGGTTAATTAACGGTTGAACTATTAAAGATTTTTGGGGTCTTGTAGATGGAAATTATATAGTGGAAATTTATATACACTTATTAAACCTAACCAGGAATGGCGGCAAAAATGCAACTATTTGTCCCTGACTGGAATTGTAATGCAGTGCCTAACCAACTGAGCTACATAATCTAGTTGTCCGTGACCGCAGGTTGGATTCCTGCCATGGACCTATAGTTGTATTTTTCACAATTTTGTGTTAAAGATATAACCTAAATTTTCACAAATTCCATAATTAGTCACGTTTGCATGGGTGATCAGGCCGCGTCTGCTTCTCCGATATATTGTCTTAAATGGTTTTCTGATAGATAAAGAATTAATGAACATATACAATTAATGAACTTATCGGTATGAAGAAAATTATTTGCTCAATAGACCATGACTGAACACATGGCAACATTTGTAAAATGTAAAATCTCCCATGTTTACACATTCGTGCATTGGTCACTTTGATGCGAATTGAATTACATTGTCTAAAATAAGGGCCGCCGTGAGGTTGGCGGGGGCCCGGGGCAATTTTTTTTTGGGGGGGGCCCCTAACAAAAAAATATTTTCCGGAAAAAATTTTTTCCGGAGAACAACCTCCACCCCCCCTCTGTCGCCAAAAAATTTTCGATCAGTGTACCATTTTAGGGGTAAAAAATTTTTCCGGACAAGTACGTTGCTATTGCTTTCCAGGGACTTTATCTCATTTTTTTATGCCAAATTTCGGTACTTAGCCCAAGAAAACAGATATCTTGTCCTTTGGGCGGAAATATTTAACACACAAAAAAGACTGGGGCCCAACAAAAAATTTTCAGGGGCCCCCAGCAACCTAGGGCAATTTGCCCCCCCTGCCCCCCCCCCCTCTCGGCGGCCCTGTCTAAAATACAGGGTGTATAAAAAAAACGCAACCTCGGCATTTCCCAAGAAATCGACATTGTTTTAAGGACAAAAGATTTTAGGTGCCTGGGAATTTAAAATAGCACAACTGTCAAAATTACTGTTTGAATTAGTTGTTGAATTCGCAACGAAAAATTTAATGTGAGTTACTCACACATACAGTGGGAAAATGCAGTAGACAGATCGATTAAATGAAGGAAATCAGGTTTTCATGAAATAAATGAAGTTAATTTCCTTTTTTGCTCTTTTAAAATGAAGAAAAACGGAACATACCTAATTTTAAGAATTTTTTATCACTGCACATTGTTGTGCAAAGTTTAGCCGAGCGGAAGTCACGCCCTCAAAATTTGTGAACACTTTCACAATGTGTAACCAAAAGACAGGCTACAATTGATATATAAAATGATCCCAAAATCAACATGCACTGCAAAGCGCCCAGAGCCCCCCAAGGAAATTTGGGAGCCCATTGCAAAAATTGAGTTGTGGCCCCTCCTGATTCCCCTCATGATTCAGAGGAACGGGGAGCATTCTCCCCGGGAAAATGTTGAAATCTCAGCTCCCAGAAATGGCCAAATCCTGCATTCTGGAAGTTTGTTGGCAGTTATGCCTATATGTATATTTCAATGTAATTGTTTTTTTGGGCCACCTTTAACTGGGATCCAGCGCGAATTGCCCCCTCCTTCTGGGCGGCCTTGACAGCACCTGCTGTTACGACTTTCTATGACAACATAGTTTGATAATCATATGCTTGCAGGAACGAAATATTTTCGTATTGGCGAATAAGAAGGCGGCTTAGATGTGACAAACTGTGAAAGAGTTCCAGGGGCATGCACCCATAGAAAATTTTGTAATCTAGCCTCTCTCAAAGGGCCTTTTTTCAATGTGCGTGTATCATTCTTTAAAAAACTCATTAACAATTCATGAGGAAAATACAAAAGAAATGAATGTTTAATCAATGTTTGTAAATCGGATGCACATTTGTCCTGATTTACATAAACTTTAACTTTGATTTTCTCGGCTTAGACAATATTTATTTTTAAAATTACTTCGCCAATGAGCTCATAAGATGGGTCGCTTTTTAAACATTCGCATCCGATCTTTATCTGATCTATAAACTCACGCCTTCGGCTCGAGTTTGTATATCAGATAAAGATCGGCTGCTCATGTTTTATCTAGTACGTAGAATCCTGAAGATTATACACTACACAAGTATCATTCACTCCAACATCCAAGCTCATAAAGAGATCTTTGATGGGAGACTTTGTTCATATGATGAGCCTTAAGTATAATATTATAGTGCTGACGTTCGATAGTTTGGCAGTTATTATTTCAACTTTCATTCAAGTTATTCTCATTCAAAATGTTTTGATTATTAATACTTTCTAGTGACAAGACGAGTTTTTAGTTCAGTTTTTCGGCTCATTGTCTTCATAAAATTAACAATCAGTTATCACAGCAAATTTTATCACTGCACATTTTAAATTTTATCACTGCACATTTCATTTTTATCAGTGCACAAATTGGTTATCACTGCACACTAAAATTAGGTATGAAACGGAACCAGAGAGTCGCGGCCCTATCACTTCCCGCCATGAAAATATAAAAAATATTTGGCCGCGCGGGTAAGGAGACTGAGAATGACGCGCAAGAATGCCTTCAAAATTCGCCATCTTTGGCTTCACTTTTTTATTACGTCACTGACTGAAGTCAGCCTTCCATGTATATAGTTCACTGCATGGCTATACGTTGAGTAGACTTTGCGGCACAAAAAGAAGGGAGGTGTAATTAAACAGCAATTCATGAGAACAGCTTTCTCCTTTTCATGGTAAATGGACATTTTATGCGACAACTAAAACACTTATTTACGACCTGCCGGTAAAGTGAGCGGAATGCAAGTATATTTCTTATCTTCTCGATTCACAAAGCCATCCCAATTTCCTCATGGTGTCCAATAAGATGTTTGTTTTCATCAACGAAGAACCAGCTGCTGACCTTGAACAACATAGACGTATTTGATAGTCAGAGAAGGCAACGCAAAAAAGAAACAGTACATGTTTTGGAAAAATGTTGGATTTATGAAACATTACTATGTCCAGTGATTATGTTTACTACATCGTATAGCCGCATTACTCATTCATCATTTTGCGTGTATGGGAAAAAAAATTTTTGTAAATACTTTCATTTTCTTCATAGGGACTGCAAATCGTTGAAAAGAATAGAGCTCTATGATTGTCAGTTAATCACACGTGGTGGAATCCGTAGACTTAAGGTAAGTTTAGCACTACCACTTTATTACATTTGAACTATTTGTACATCGATGATTGAATATGTGATTGCCACGCTCCATGAGCAGTATTGTTACTGTGGAATATGTTACACGGAATATGTAGTTTTCGTATATTAAATGCACAGTGAGTTCGTAATAGTGTGGAAAGGAAATCAATATAGACAACATTCTGGCACTATTTTCATATTAAAACCCTTTTTTGCAGCAACCATTTGTTTTGGTGAATTTCACAATTTGATTGGCTGCTGAAGAGGCAGGATTTTCCCGTATTGCCCACGGGTAATACGATATTTTTATTCCCCCTACAAGGCTGCGGCGAGAACCGAGTTTCAAACAAAAATTGTCTAATAGTCTTTCGAAGTATTCTAAATGAAGAAAACTAAACCTAATGGAGAGAAAAGAGGTGGCGCTCTTTAAAAAAATCTTTTATTTGTGAATTTATATGACAAGAACTTTTAAAAATAAAATAAACAAGTTTTAAATGGCTTTGTCACTAAATTTCCCCCATTTTAACGGCGGAAAGTTAAAAAGTTGAAAAGTACAAAAACTATTGCACGGGCTGAGCGTGCAATAGTTTTTGTACCATTGCACAGTAGCAAAATGGGAATTTGAATTCCGTATATCACGTGATCATAATCAGTCAATTAAATTTCCTGAATTTAATGAGGTGTTATATAACATTTAATATATTTTTTCAGATGCATCTACCCAATTTAAGAGTCCATGCGTATTTCGCTCCCGTAACGCCGCCACCAAGCATTGGTGGAGGTCGACGGCGAGTTTGCCGATGCTGTACTATAGTATGACGTACATTTCATGTAGCATAGATTTTAGAAGAATTTTAGCGTTGTAACCTAACCATATAATTTTAGTCCACCTTTCTTTTAAAAACATAGCATACTGAAAGACAACTTTTACATGTTCATTCATGGTCATGTTTTATGTCCTATACTACTCGTATCATAATATATGCACTCTGCTCTGATGCAGGGATATGTATATAGAGGTAATAAAAATTATGTATAGAGGCGATCATCTCGAGTACAATTCAGGTTTAAAGATTGTACAATTCTTAATTGTACAGTACGAGCAACATCACCACATGATTACTTGTTTATTATTTGCATGACAAAATTGCCAATTTTACTCACTCATGCCTTTTAAAACTTGGAAATATTAATTCTTATTGCGTATCATATTTTTATAAATGTTGTCATGAACACAATGATCCGGCCGGATTTAAATTTCTGTTTTCACCTTAAAAAATTCACCAAGAATGGGATAAACCATCAATTCGGCAGCTTTAAAGTTTAAAAAACACTTATATTATTATAAAATATTAAGTTATTAACAAAAAGATATTTAAAAAAGGTTTAAACACAATCAAAAATCTAAACTGACACTAACTAAAAATAGTAAAGAACATAAACCGCCATTTTGAATACTGATTTATCCCCCAATTGTCCCCATTACCGGTTTATCTCAATTCCAGCCGGAATTTTTGTCCAAATCCGGTAAATCCAGATCCGGCCGGATTTGAAAATTCCAAATCCGGTGCACCCCTACTATTGAAGTGTTTGAACCACAGTATTATAACGGCCAGTTGTTCAAACCTTAGTTGGGGTTAACAAAGCAAATAAAGTGCTAAAAATCTTCTTCAGCTGTGTAGAAATGAAAGCAATTGGGAATTTCAGTGTATAATTATACACTTATTTTGGTAGGTACTACTTTCTCCATACTTACGAAGTAACTTATATTTGTTGGAGGTTTCTTCACAACTATCGAGTTTTGAACAACTGGCGATATACAGCAGATGTAAATATTATAGAAAATATATGTAAATGAATATGGAATATTGTTGCGTTATATTTTATTAAGCTTGTTGTGGTCTGAAGTAGTCTTTAGTAGGGATGAGCCAATTAATCGGCCAAGCCGATTAATCTGCCGATATCGGCCAATTTTTAATAATCGGTAATCAGCCAATTATTTCTGTATTATCGGCCATTTGCCGATTATTGACCAATTTCTTTTTCTATTAGAAATAAATGAAAATCTGTGTATTCACTGTGTTTGTTTTTTTGCACATGTTTAACAATCTTTTCACGAATGACATGCAGCTGCTACACAAATACGTACAAATAAGATCTTGCATTCATCTCACCGGAAATGCAATTATTAATTAGTGAGAAAATTGACACTTATACTATACATGGCCATTTAGCTGGATTATGTGTGTTAAGCTGGATTTCCTCGTAGTGGAAAACGTTGTGTGCCACACCGCATGGACAACCATTACAGTGATTACACGAAACAAAATAGAACATGAAAAACAAATGGAAAACTTTTCATTTGTATCCAGCTTTAAAAGTGCTTTGCTACATTAGCTTCCCAAGTGTCATTGTTCACCTGAACAACTAACACCTACTGGTAAATGTGTAAATGGAAATAATCGGCTCTGGCCGATTAATCGGCCGATCATTTCGTAATATCGGCCACCGATTAATCTAATCGGCAATTTCAGTGATCGGCTCATCCCTAGTCTTTAGTAATCGGCTCATCCCTAGTCGATCGGCTCATCCCTAGTCTTTAATTAACATATGATGCATCGATACCGTTAGAACTGAATAGCAAAAGAGTTCCCAAGTACACATCAAGAGGCAGTTAAGGACACAGATACATGTATAAAAACAATGAAAATTAGACTGAGATTTGAGGATATATTAATCCATTGAGTACCAGCGATCTCCCCATGACAAAAATTGATATAAATTGGGTCATTCCAGAAAAGATCCACACTTCTCCCATGACAGAAGAAATCTCTGCCTTCCAAAGGGGGAGGCGAGAATAATTTGTTTCTGATAATAGTAAGGCCATTAGGAGATCTGAATGGGTGGGGGGTTAACCGGTATGGATGTTATCTGGAATAACCCGTTACACCCCCAGGGCCTCTCAGCCGAGCGCGACCTTCATTGGCCCTCGGATACACGGAACCGGAAGTGCACGAAAACTTGCAGTTGTTTCTAAAGCACGTACTCGTGAATTTGGACTCCTTAACACCCGTAACAATTTTGACAGAGAAATGTTACGAAGAAACGAAGTATTTGTGTTAACATATTTTGATAGAATTATTTTCCCTAGCGAAAACTGCTCAAATTCTGCGAAATAGCAGTTCTCTGAGAAGCCAATCATATCTCTCCCTTTAGTCTTCTAACCCAGAGCCTAATTTTCAACGAGTGACCGAGTGAAAATGGCTCTAGGAACGTGAGGTTACACGCTAGATGCGCATAAAGTCCTGCCCAAAAAATTATCGAATCCAACATTGACCAACGTCTGAATATTCTTGGGTTCATTTGACGTCACATCCACTCAAGTGGTCTGTGTGAAGTGTAACAGACGGCTTTTACATTGTATATAATTGTGAAATAGAAAATGAGTCGCATGCGTGTATGGTGTGTAATGAACGGGGGGATGTTGGGAGAATAGGGAGTTTAAGCTTCGCGTTTCGGGAACGGCAAACGGCAAGTTCGAACTTTCTTCGCAAAATTTTTGTTAAACGTTTTCGTTTCATATTTTCTTTCTTGTGTCGAAAGAATAATCATGCATTGCAGTTTTAAAACAGCAAGTTCATTTATTCTTTATTGCCTGATACCGTAAAATTTTTCTTTACCTGGCGTTTACTTTTATTTTACCTGGCGTTAACCCACATTTTTCTCAAATTGCCAATGCTGTCATTCCTGACGGAGCAGTTCAACAGCCAGATTTTGATGTCTTAAATTACGCTATTTCGTGGACAACCGATTCCCTAAAAACCACCAATTTACCATTCCACCCATGCCTGCCGATTATCTCCTCAATTAAATCAACAACTTGTCATGTCACAAGGCAAAGGGAATCGATGACATCAATGTCCAACTGCTCAAAATTGACTGTAACAAAATCCTTCCATCGCTTCAAAGTCTTCTTCACATCTGAAACTCCAGTAACCTCATGACCTTTGTTGAAATTTAGGTCTTGCCCAGGTACGTTTAGTGTGACAGCTGCCTACCTTCGCGTTATTGGTAGTGGGTAATATCAAGACACGTTTACACTTGAATTTTTGCGGCTTGCCGAACAAAACTTTCGGAAGTGATCGGATTGTTATCGTAAACTTGCTTAACTTCCCGCGCTTGCGTCTAAGCCAATCAGGTACCATGTGACGTCGGAAAATGCGACCCGAATGATCGAACGACAAACAAATCGAGATTTGCTTTGGCTAAAATACATAGGTCGCGCGGGGATCTGGCACGAGGAAAAACTGTAAACGTCGTCAAGAATAGGTGGTTGCCGAGCTTCGCTCGGCAGCAATAGTAATAATAATAATAATAATAATAATAATAATAATAATAATAACATAATAATAATAATAATTGTAATAATAATAATAACATAATAATAATAACATAATAATAATAATAATTGCACTGGAGGCAGACTTGGTCAATAACGATATAGATGTATGTGTGGTGAGCGAGAGTCACCTGAAACCTGAAATGCCAGATGCTGTGGTGACCATTCACAATTATTCAATATTTAGAAGAGATAGAAGTTGGGAAGGACGCGATATGAGAGCAAAAGGAGGGGTAGCAATATATGTTCGGAACAACTTAAAAGTTATTGATATTTATCGATCCAGTTTGTACGAACTTATTGGTGTCACACTTCTGTTACCTACAGGAAACCGCATGTTGATATATGGCCTTTATCACCCACCTAGGCACAATTATCTGGAGAGCGACTTATTGGATTATTTGATAAATATTTCTGACGACGTTCTGGACAAATATCCAGACACTGTAATTGTTTGTGGAGGGGATTTGAACAGTTTGGACATAAAACACCTTGAGGAACTATCAGGATGGGATGCAATGGTCGACTTTTCAACAAGGGGTAACACATGTTTGGATAACTGCCTTACAAATAGAATAGATTTGTTCTCAAAATGTTAACCTTTCCACATGTTAACTAAAACAGACCACATGGGGGTTATTTTACCAGCAGGGACGAAACTAAAACCTATGCGCCGAAAGGTTGAATTTCGGGATTGTAGAAAGCATCGAAAGGAAGATTTCCACAAAGCTTTAGCAGAAGAAGATTGGGAGGATGTATCGCAGTCCACGAATGTAAATGACGCTGTGAATTGTCTTGAACGTATGATCATGGATCATATGAATAAATGCATGCCCACAAAAACAGTCTCAATTTCGTCACGTGACCCTTACTGGATGAGTCCTTTAATTAAATCTTTGCTAAAATCTAAATCCAGAATTGCTCGGTCGCAAAAGGATAGACTCAGTTTAATTAACAAAAGGATTTCTGATGTCATTTGTCAAAACAGAAGAAATTTTAGGGCCTTGGTGGGAAGTAGAACTTGGTGGAGAAAGACGAATGATATTTCTCAGCGAAATGCATCGTCATCAAGAGTTACTTTAGATAATGCATCACTTACAAGATTAAATCGCTACTTTGGCGAACTCTGCCACGATGATAGTTATGTCGAACCGACGCTCTCAATTATTGGTGATGAAGTAGATATTCCTAGCTTTACGGAACAGCAGGTATGGAATGCCTTGAAAAGAATAAAGAGGACAGCAACAGGTCCCGATTATATTCCCTATTGGGTTTGGAGTGATCATGCTGAAATTCTAACTGAAGTTATAACTAACGTCTGGAATTTGTCCCTTTCATCACATACTTGGCCAGATTCATGGAAAAGAGCGAATATTAACCCTCTTGCAAAGGTTGATTTACCAAAGGAAGATGGTGACTTTCGTGGAATAAATATTACACCTGTAATTGCGAGAGGACCTTCGAAAAGCTCGTTTATAATAGTCAGGTCAAGTCCACAGTTGAGGAAATTTTATCCCCAACGCAATTTGCGTACAGGCAGGGGGGGAGTTGTACAAACGCTCTGTTAACTATTCAGAACAAAGTACTCAGCTTCTTAGATAGAGCAAACTGCAAAGCAGTTAGACTGTTTTCTATGGATTTTAGCAAGGCTTTTGACTCAGTGAAACATTCACTCCTCTCGGAAAAGTTAAAAACTGTGCCACTCAACCCTTATATCATAAATTGATATTTAAATTTTCTAAAGAATAGAAAGCAAAGAGTCGTTTGTAACGATTTTTGTGGAGAATGGATGGATGTTAATAAGGGTACAACACAGGGGAGCGTAAGTGGCCCCTACCTTTTTAATATTTTCCTAAATGATTTAGAGGTGGACATAGACGGCGAGAACGCTCTTTTTAAATATGCCGACGATTCAAATATAATAGTGCCAGTTTGGAGTGAGGGTCCTGATACATCAACAGATACAGTTGGACAATTCCTGAGCTGGTCTGATGATAATTTTATGACTTGTAACCCTGGTAAATGTAAAGAGCTTATCATCCGGAAGAAGGGATATAATGATCAACTTGACAATGTTTATAATATACCCCAATGCAAAGAACTTTCCATTTTAGGTACTACTTTCAAGACAATCTCAAGTTCACCAGCCATGTGCGAGGTAAATTGGTCAAAGCAAACAAATGCTTGTACGTTATACGAACACTCAGGGCAGAAGGCTATAGCCAATGTGAGATAGATTATCTATTTAAGACCCTAGTAATATCTACTATAACGTTTGGCCTGTCCGTCTACGGTTCTTCTCCAGCCGAACTCAATACTCTACAACGGTTTTTTGACAGATGTTTTAAGCGAAAGTATATATCAGAACCTGTAAATATTAGATATCTTTTAGAAATACAAGACAAAAATATTTTTAAGGCTTCTGTAAATCAGAAGAGTGCCATAGTCGACTTGATACCAAGAAAAAAATCCACAAGCTACTCTTTGAGGACAGAGTTTAGTCAGTATCCAAGAGTGAACACGGAACGTTTTAAATTGTCGTTTGCAAATAGATTAATTTTTAACTATAACCTATTCATATGATGTAAACTTTACTAATGTGTTATTAATATGTACTTGTAACATAAGATATGTATTTTTATCTTTTGATCTATTAAAAAGACTTTTGAATTGAATTGAAGATAGGGCTTCTGTTTACATATGAAATGTTGTTATCGTCTCAATTTCTGCAACGAACCGGTGGTGCGGCGGTTCGCTCTTCGAAGTGGTGTGCGGTGTATCGGATCGGTTTTTGCAACGCTCTCATTGTAATGTAAACACCAATCGGAGAAATTTCGGTTCAATGCGTGACTCAGGATGGAATCTGGCAAACAACAACTTACTATTCTAATAATATATAGAAGAAAATATGACGGCATAGATGGGCGGGGCGGAAGCTGTTTACACTTGGGCCGTAACTTTTCGCGAACGAAACAAAAACTGATCCGATACAATGTAAACATAGCCTTAGTCGTCTACTAAAAATTCCTTGCACGTGCTCAGAATTTATTAATTGTTATTAATCTTGTACTCTCAAGATCGACTACTTGCTAGGCTTTATCTCTGGTTTTATGCGTCAAACAAAGACAAAAATACTACTGTTTGAATCAGCGTGAAAACTTGTATTTACGGATGGAAAATTGATTTCTATTCTTGCGATTTATGGCCTTTTAAAGACAAGCCGCTCAAAATAATCCTTCACGTTTTCTGAATTCCTTTTTTCGAGTAATGTTTTCTTTTGAATTAATCTCGGACTCTCACAATTGACTTTTTGCTGTGCCTTACTTTGGTTTTATGCGCCTAATAAGGACAAAAATACCACCGTTCAATTCAGCATAAGAAATTATACTCACAGACGTCAAATGTATTACTAAACAACAGTATTCTAGCGATTTATGGCCTTTGAAAGACAAGCGAAATTGTATTGTTCACAAATCGCTCAAAATTGTTAAACTATTAATTAAATAAAAATGCAATATATTTGACCTTGATAACTTTCGTATTGTTAGTTTTCTCTTTTTCGGCCGTATACCAGTGGATTCGTCTCACTTTTCTCTTTATTTTGTTAGTAGTTTGAGCGCAAAATATTATATTTTCAAGGTTTTAATGTGCAGTTTTAATAAGCGAAATTGTATTGTTGACAAATCGCTCAAAATTATTAAACTAATCAAAAATGCAGTCCGTTTGATCCTTGATAACTTCGGAATTGTTGGTTTTCTCGTTTTCGGCTGTATGCCAGTGGATTCGTCTCACTTTTCTCCTCATTTTGATAGTATATTGAGCTAAAATATTTTATTTTGAAGGTTTTAAAACGCAGTTTTGATCCTAATATACGGACCAACTGGCGGCCGACAGGAGAATGTGTAGCGTGCTAAATATAACTTTACTTGTCAATTTTATTTTATTATTTATTGGGCCATGTAAACCTAACTCTATCGCGACATAATAAAACAAGAATAAGCTAGCTGATATAGCAGTCGAGCGGTCCCGGCCCTCCTTTCCGCGGGTTATACTGTGATGTAATAATACAAGAATAAGATAGCTGACATAAATCAGCTGCTGTCTGCTGACTTATAATTTTATATCAAAACTATACACTGGCACTTATTCATATATACATCGCTCCGTATCTTTCATAGATAAACCACTGTGCTAATACTACAACCTCAGATGTAATACACTCTAGTCTACACGATTTCAGCATTTCACACCGCCGCTCAATAGTCACCGCTCGTCCATGTCCGCCATTGTAAAATGATAACATATGAGGGCACGTGTATTATGCACGTGTATTTATGTTGCAGGGGGGCATATCATATAATAACAAGTGCTTGAAATGCAACAGTAATTTGGTTATAACTTCTCTAAATGTCAGATAAATAAGTAAGAACATGTACCATCATGAATATAACTATAGATTGTTATAATCTACAAACAGCTATGAACGATTAGTTGGCTGAAAGTCGCGAAGCTCTAGAAAACGTGATAAAAAAAATTGCAAGCTCCCCCCGGATTGTTTACTCGATCGATCGATCCATTGATCGGTCACTGAATTGAATTTAACCTCATAACAACAGTGCAAAGCAACTTTGCACTAAAAACAGCCTCATGGTACAATGTAATTATGGGTTATTTTACCAACCAGCTTTCAGAATTTCACATGTTTTTATACCTTGACATTTGAATTATGTCAAGATGCCAAATTAGCTGGATATTGTCAAAATAACCTCTAGGTTTCTGCATATTTGGTAATTTGCAAATTGCAAACATTACAATTTATATACTAAAACTGTCTGTACCAGTGTGGGTAGTACCAATGTGAAAATGATGTGCTGAGTGGTTTCTGCTTGTTTTTTTTAAAGGTAGTAATATAACAATTCAGCATGGCATTACAATTTATATCAATTTTAAACAGGTGACCTCTATTTTAAGCCACTCACATCAATCATGCCATTGCCAGCCATCATACTACTCATTATGTATACAATAATAATTGCTAGCTAAAATATTTTAAAGATGCTGTGAAGTCCGTTCTGCACATCACTTCAGCTCATAACAACTTTAGTAGGACGCACAGATATGAACATTGCCAAAATTTTGTATCTTTCAAACCTTTTTTAATTGAAACGTAGAGTTTATATTCATTTATATACAAGCGCATAGCAAACCAGAAAAGTGTTAGATATCCAGTTAGTAAGGTATAAAATATTTTATAACTAGAAGTTACTATCGCAAGGAAAGTGCTGCCTCGCTCCCAAAGGGATCAAAGGCAACATGCACAATTTGCTGAGTAAGGAGCTGTTCATATGATCCCGCTTTGCCAGGATTTTGATGAGATTTGAGACAGGATTATTTTGATGTATTGAAATAAGTCACAGTGCATGATTCAGCCAAAAACTACACTACTTTCTTAAGATGCATCATAAACTGTAAGCGAACGGTTTTTCAAGCAGCAATAATCTTCTTGAACTACATGTAAATCTTCTCTACAACATTTGAGTTCTTGTAACAACCATTTGAACTTTCGTTTAGCTTATAGAGACTTATTTCAACCGCCATACAACATGTAAACAGCCCCTGGGGAGGCTAAGATGATCTATTCTAAAAGACCACACAAGTCAGAACACGAGTCAGAACACGAGTGAACACGAGTCAGAACACGAGTGAACACGAGTCAAAAATTTGTGAACACGAGTCAAAAATTTGTGAACACAAGTCAAAAACTGACGAACACGAGTGAACACGAGTCAAAAATGACAAACACGAGTCAAAAATCTGTCAACACGAGTAAACACGAGTCAAAAATGATGAACACGAGTGAACACGAGTCAAAAATCTGTGAACACGAGTCAAAAATCTGTGAACATGAGTCAAAAACGCATTCTTAAAGAGGCTCCCTACAGTTTTAAGCCCGTAATGAAGGTCTGTACTGTGTAATTGCACGCGGGATAGTCAGGATTCTTGGCGGCCCACAGGATGTTGGATTAATAATAATAATAATTATAACGAAAACTTTATTCAATTTTAGTAATAATAATAATAATACTTATAATTATTATAAATATTATTATTATAATTATGATTATAATTAAAATATTATAATTAATTATAATTATATATTAATATATATATAATATAATTAATAATAATAGCTATATAGACCCAGCTGCGGCAGACAATATCTTTCACTTATTGCACTGGGTATGTGGAAATTATGAAATTATCTACTTATCATATATATATATATATATAATTACATTATAATTATGATATTAATTATTGTAAATATATCTAAATATTCTTTACTTATATTGTAAACTTTTAGTAGCTTCCAGCTTGTACCATAATTGCAGCCAGAAATTCTGCCTGTGTTCCAGTGATTAAATTAAGGTTGTATCTTAATAGTTAAGAAATAAAGTGGTCGTATGTGATCGAATAAACACGTGTGAACATGTGCAGTGAGATTTAAAGGCACAGTTCAGCCTTTTGAATGATGGTTTTTAAGGCGCATTTCCGCCCTTTTAATTGAAAAAACTAACTAGGAAAATCAATTAAGCATAATTCAAAATCAGCAAACTTAATGTTTTTAACACTTAAAATCTTTTTTATTGTTAAAAACATTGAGTTTACTGATCTTGAATTATGCATAATTGTTTTCCTAGTTAGTTTTTTTTTTCAATTAAAAGGGAAATGCGCCTTAAAAACCATGATTAAAATGGCTGAACTGTGCCTTTAAACTAGTTTCACCATTACAGCGAATGAGCAAAAATGTGGCATCAGCACTCGTTTAAATACGTCAGAATGACAATCGTATGCGACAAATTGACAATCTAATTTCAGGTAGCAGATTATTCCAAAGTTGCTGCAGCGTGGGCCGTCGAGGAGTGGAAGCAAAAACCGCTTGCGTGCGATGCGAGGTTGACATTTGTATTGCTTTACATGGGAATAACGGTTGTATAACCTGCATGTTATGTATGGATTGTATTGCCATGTGTTGCATCAAACTATGTCACAAATAATCCGTTCAGGTTGTACAATTCATGTAAAAGAGAGTGAGAGAAAACTACAACGTGGTTTTAGTTTTTATTAGCGCAAAAAATATGAACACTAGTCAAAAACATGAACATGAGCCAGTAAACCATTAACACCGGACAAAAATGTATTTTTTAAACATATGCACGACTTATTTATATCACCAAGCTTTGTCGACTATTGTAGTGCCGTTTCGCAGTGCTCAAAGGCATATAGCCTAACCTCGTCCTTTTATAGGTGAACGAAAATCTTCTCCTAAAACAAATTTCTCAACAGTTTGTTCATAACACCGAAAATATCTAGACCATTAGAAATCGTACTTTCGCAAGTTTAGCAAATTGTCATTGAGAAATATTTAACCTAAAGGTCCAAGGTTAGTGCTAATATATCTCTGAAAAACTGGCCACAGCAAGATAAACAATTAATTAACAAGAACCCAATCTTCTTGTCCAATACGCCTCTCAAAACGAGTACTGTAAACACATAAAGTATTTGACTTCAAACGAGTAACCTAACTAACACCATAACCAAGATAAGTCTTTCTAATATCAACCGATGCAGTTTTTTGGCTATATAAACCTTGCTCAATATACGTTACTATAATAATGTCAATATTTGCAAATACATGCAATTACCTCTTTCAAACATCCTGACTTTTTCGAACACTGAGAAAAACAGTATTAATATGCCCAAATAACTTGAGCACTTAGCTATCCTGAAGGTAATTAAAATCAAGATTTAGTACATTGTTAACAACATGAAGATGGTCTGGTGAAAGCATCTGAGACAGAACGGGAGCGACAATGACACGACCATCAAATACAGGATTCTTTAGCATAATATGCTCTTTAACAGGATGATAATACGTCGCTTTAAAGTCTGGACTAAATAACAATTGTCCGCTTTGGTCACATCCAGTTATTCTTCTGTCCATATGCCTAACAACCAGGTTATTAGGTGGCATTCGATATCCTTGGGTGAACTCTTGATAACAGCCATAGCATTTTGTGACAGAATTTGGTAAAAGAACCAATTCGTACCGGTATGGGGACATGCTGGAATTCCAGGAAGCAAAATGATTGCTTGCATTGCTATGCTGCTGTATATCAACACCACTTAATTGGCGACATTGTGGTTGCAGAATGCCGATGCAAGGCTGGCTTTGAATCTGACCGCAGGTGGCAGATGACGTAGAAGGCTGTTGGAATGTAACACTATCTCTATTACTGTACTGTACGGCCGAAGTAAGGGTTGGCTCACGCGGAGTCATCAGTGGAGCAAGAGAGGATTGTGCACCAATGACGACGTATTGGTTTGTTGACTGGAATACGGATGCCGTCGACAAGAATGGAAGGTAACGAGTCAAGCCGGCTGGCGTACTCATGGATGATGACTGTTGGATATTGGAATGGTTTACCGATCCAATAACAAAGGAACCATCACTTGTAGTTGGTTTTCTCTGAAGTAGATCTTCTGCAATCGACTCTTGAAAGGATTTGGATTTTCTGCGAGAAAGTTTTTTTGTCCGTTTAATGAAGAGCTAAGATCAGATTGAACAGCTGCTGTAATGTTGACGGCTCCTTTTCCACTTTTCTTTCGTTTTCCAAGTTTTGTTCTTAGTGCACAAAGGTAGTTGCAGAGAACTCCGACTTCATCAGCGACGGCAATGGCGTCACAGCAGATTTCCAATGCTTTATAGATTTTACATGTACACTGAAAAAGATCTCTGTTCTTCGGAAAGGGCTTAACAATCAAACGGTACAGATCCATAACGACTTTTAACAGTGCGTAAACGATCATCATCTGAAGCCGCTTTAGTGATGGAATTGGGTTCGTTTATTAGTTCTTCGGCTTTATGAAAAGCATCTTCCAAGAGATGATGAGGCAAAACATCTTTTAGAACTGTAGCTTCTTCAAGCGATACTGAGAGCTTGCGTCGTGGTTTGTTGAGAACGATTTGGCTTTTAACCACCGGCTTGAACGGATCAGAGTGATTTGGTGGTGGAGAATTCGAGATTTGTTGTGACACCACAAGACCATCTTCTCTATCCGTTGACTTGGGTGGGACTTGATCGGGTGTTTCATCCTCCAACAAGGAAATATTTGGAATAGTTTCTTCAATTTCTTCGTCATCGCGATTGGCCAAAGTCGAACTTCGAACTCTGGAGCGCAGAAGTACATCGTCGGTCGGAATATAAGCCATGAATGCTGAGATGTGCGACTTTCTTTCGTTTGATGACATGCTTTTCCATTCTGCATATGTTTTACGAAACATGTGATAGGCTGGTGATATGACGTACGGACCATCATCATATAAAGCTTTGACGACATTGCTATACAAACGGAGACTGCATGTTTTCAAGGCATCTAGGCATTCTGAAAGTGTGGCGTCGCGATGACTACGACCTTCTGAACGAACACTGGCGGATATTTCATCTTTGGATAAGAAATTTTGCCACTCAATTGGATTTTGACCATACACCCCATCAATAAAAGCTTGCTTTCGAACTTCTTTAATCATTTTGTCCCTTATTTGCTTCTCCTTATGAGCTTCAAAATAATCTACAAACTTATTTGCTGGACGATTACTTGTGTGTTCTTTTTCCATTTGTAGCCATTTTGACTTCAGTTGCAACAGCTTACGGATATAAATTTGAGTACTTTCGCTTCCGTAGAGAGAATCTTCTTCTTTGCACGTGGTACCCCCGAAAATATCACTCAAAATAATGTTTTTGTATTGACGGGAAATTTAGGGACTACAATTTCTTATCGACATTGGCTTGAACATGTTCTTTGCCCAAGAGATGGATGGTCGTTCCACTTGTTTCCTGCAAAATCCCGCCTGGATTCCCTCTTTTTACTGCTTGCCAAAAATACGAGAACTCCTGCATAGATTGATTTCGATGGACAAGGAATGGACCCGGAAACCAAGGATTCTTTAAACTCTCTCTGCCAATTACTGACATCTGCTTGTACATCGTTTGTGTGACAAGATAGGTTGCAATATTAAATGTTGTGTCACAAGCCAAAGGTGTAGAGAACCTGGGATTTGATGATGTGGTGGAGAAACGTTCTATATCTGTAAAGGACTGCTGTAAATACGCCACAAAACAAGCTTGTTTCTCGTGTCTGAGGAATTCTCTGACGAATGCTTGATTCTTGTCGAGCACATCACGGTCAATTTCATAAGCAGAGGATCCCTGTTCAAGGAGTTTTAGAATAACTTCCTGAATTTGATCGATACTGGTTGTGGTTTTCGCTTCTCCATACAAATGCCGGTAGTTATACAGCCGCTTGCTGTCCCGAATAGTGGTTGACTGTAGTGCAGGGTCAAGCAAATTGATATCTTTCGATTTTTCATCTTGAATAATCCTTGGCGCACGTCTATCTGTACGAAGTGTTTCTTTTACTTCTTGCTTAAGAGAGTGCTCTCTAGAAATAAAGGATCTGGTGTGCGGACGAGTTGCATTACCATGCATTGTTGCTACTATGGGGACGGCATTCCCGGTGTTAAAATAGTAATGCATGATAATCGTTGGACATTTTAAAATTGGATTTCCATCGTTTTCTTGTGCACTGCTCTTTTTCTAACTACAGCATACAAGTGCTCTTTGTCCACAATCTGACGAACCCAATTTCGACCATCGCGTACGTTGCAGGTGCCACCAACGATGCTGCCTTTGTTGTTTTTGTTCACCAAAACTTCTGAACTGATAAAAAGTTCGCCTTCGTCATTAACTGTTACTTCATAAAATCTAGTTTGCTCTTTTTTCTCGGAAGCACCAAGTGTTTCATCTGCTTCTACATCAAATGGATGCTTTATATTTGCAAGTTTTTGGTCAACAACAAAGGTTGATGTGGTAGAAATGCTTGTAGGTTTGGTTCCTGTCATTCGGTCGGCAGGAGTGTCCTTCTTTAAACAGATCTGGAATATTTTTTTAGGTCAGTACTCGTATAACTATAAATTGGGAGCTTCTTATCCCCCCTGTAATGAAAAAGGTGTGGCAAATCGTCTTCATTTGAATGAAGATAATTTTTGTCGCTGCCATCGACTGATTCGGGATCACTGGAAAATTCTGCATCATCGCACTCGTTAAGTTGACTATTGTCACTATCATCGTCCTGCGTAAGGTCGACGGTTAAAATATCTCGTGATCTTTTCTTCCTTTTTTCCGACACTTGAAATGTTAGTGGCCTTTCGTTTAGACATCTAAAAAGGTAACTGTATAGTTATGTAAACTATCGTAGTTGGGCCTCTGCTTCTGTCTAGTCTGTTAGTTATATTTGATAAGAAATGTATATTGAAAATATGTCCCACATCATCCGGGAATATACTTTTTTGCCAAGTTGTTGGCAAACAACTTTTCAAATAATTTTTGTTAATTTAAAAAAATGGACAATTTGCATTATAAACAAACTCTTGACCTTGGCATAAAAATGAATAAATCATCGAATGTGTAAATATTATTTATCGTGCGTTGTGTTGACAAGAACAGCATTAAATTAAATGTTTATTTATATGCCGATTTAATGTAATTTTAAGCATTTTCAAAATTGCTTCTTCAAAATGAACTGTAGAATACATTCAATAATGAATATTGCTCAAATATCTTCAAGTCATATGTCAAAATTTAAGTTAGGCCTTTCTGAATTCAGTGAAGTCTATTTGATTGAAACTCCTTGTCCAGTTTTAACGGTATAACAAATCAAACACCGATACTTTTTTTTTGAGACACCCGGTATATGTATCTCGGACGTGTGTGTCAGTGTTGAGTGTGTATGTATTTGAGTAAGTATTGTATGAATATGCAGCTGTATTTTTTAGTTTTATATACACCGATTCGAAAAAGAGCTGTCAAAGTCTGGAGGACTGTGGCGAGTTACACGAAAACGAGGCTAGTCAGGTTAATTTTTCGCGCGAAAACTTTGAAATTGTTTATATTTTTTAAATAACATGGCCTCATCAGGTTTTGATAACTTTGACGTAGAATTAACCGAAGAGGATATTCCCGGTGCTTCCTTAGCTGGAAGAATACCTTCTAAGCTAAAGATGGACGAGCTTCGTTTTTGGTTAAAATGTCGTGGTGATTCGTGCAAAGGCCTTAAAATGAAGGCACAATTCGTAAAATGGTAAGCTTAAAAAATTCTACATGTGTCAATATGGACTCGATTTTGCGCTGTGTTGATATTATGTTTTGGTTTTTCATTGAAGGGTTGACGAGTATGTAAAATCAGGCCGCGACAAGAGCATCGTTGACCCCGACGAAAACAAGATATTTTCGAAAAGAAAAGCGAGAAAACAAACTTCCCAAGAAATCGAACCGGATACTAACGAATTGGAAAACACATTAAATACAAGTCGAGTTATCTACCCGACAAACAGTTGGTCGACTTCTCTGAGTCGTATGCCTTTATTTACTCGTGCAGAGATGAACTTGCATATCTCAAAATCTGGCAAGTCCTTCTATCCACATAGCAAAAATCATACAGTTCCAACATGTATGAGAAGAGCCAAAACATTTCTAGATGATGAATACCTAAAAGACGTGTTAGCCAACAGCGACGAGAAACACTTTTATTGTAAATGTCTGTGCTATCACAGCTTCAAAAAGAATGAACCACCGCACAAGTTGAAGGTTGCTTTGGACATTGTATCTGCAGAGGTCAAAAATGCCGAATGTTCCTGTGTTGCAGGAAAGATTGGTTTCTGTAATCATGTGTTGGCTTTAATGTTGAAAATATGCAAGTTTAGCCTTTATGATTGTAAAGATGTTTCTGAATTAAATAAAGACGATGACATGCTACCCACAGAAGCTTGCACGTCTAGTTTACAGACGTGGCACAGAAAGGGTAGAGGAGATTCTATACAGCCGCAACCAGTTATGGAAGTTAATGTAAAGAAAACGAAGCTTGATTATAACACTTCGAATTCCTCTGGTAGTGAATCTCTACGTAAAAAATCAGGCGTCCAGTGTAACTTGTTCGAAGCTCGGGCAAACTTGAGGACCCAGAAAAAAGATGAATTAAATTTACAGCAAAATCTTGAACGATTACACCCTTCGACGGCTTTAGCACAAATCATGAATGATGCTGATCATGCTGGTGATCAAGATGACTATGTGGAAACATTGTATGGTAAGAGTCCGAGAGGGTCTTATGCAAGCTATCAACTTTCCTTAACAGAGTCTAATTTCAATGTTTTCTGTGACATAAATTCTGTCTCAAGAAAAACTCTACATGATAAGGAAAACATTGACACAACCTTATATCCAATCTTTCCAATTACTGATATACCTGATTTTAAATGCCCAAACAGTTGCAGTCAATCTGAAAAGAAGTTTATCGAACAATTATGTGTTACTGAGGGCAAGCTGAATGATATTGAAAAGAAAACAAGGGCTCAAGCCCAGTCTGCAGAATGGAAATGTGAAAGAAAGTACAGGTTAACTGCCTCAAACTTTGGACTTATCACTAAAAGGAAAAGAAATCATGATTCTCTTGCAAATAACTTGCTCAATCCAAAGCCCTTTAATTCAAAGTACACAGCCCATGGCAACAAGTATGAGTCAACTGCATTGCAACAATACCAGAAATATATGCATGCAATTGGAAAACCTGTAGTGTTATTCAAATCAGGGTTTGTTGTATGCAAAGATGCACCTTTCCTTGGAGCTTCTCCAGATGGGAAAGTTATTGATGCAGGATGCAGTGAACCCTATGGTCTTGTCGAGGTAAAATGCCCTGAGACAAAATACAGGGTAACTCCTTTAGATGCCTGTTCAGATCCAAAGTTTTGTTCACATGAAGTTGCTGGAATACCACAACTCAAGCATGACCATGATTACTATGCTCAGATACAAGGTCAACTAGGAGTAACACAAGCAAAGTGGTGTGATTTTGTTATATATACTGACAAGGGACTCAGCATCGAGAGAATTAAATATGATCACCAGTACTGGATAAATATGAGAAATATGTTGCAGTCATATTACTTTGATCATTTCATCAATTTGGCAACTACTGAATACAATGCACAATAGCTTATAGCTTTGCGAGTGCTGGTCTTTTGTTTGACATAGTACGTAAAGGCACAGTAGTTCCTTTTGAGCAATGTGTTTTAGGAAGCATTTTTGTTGTCTACATTTAGTCAATTTTCAATTTGAACATTAACAATAAGTTAATTCAATTAAACCTTGTTGGCAGGTAACTAAAACAGATTGCTCAAAAGGTGCTACTGTGTCTTTAAGTACAGTGTATGTGCACTAATGTTATTTGTAATCCATGCAACACAAATAATTTTTAAATGTAGACCATTTATTTCATTTAATTTCAATAGCATTATTACATTCATAACTTTGATTCATTTGCATTTTAAATTTACAGTAATCATTTAATTATATTTACACTCAAAATATTTTATAAATTCATAAATTATTCTCAATAAATAATATATTTATAAATAATAATTATTAAATTCATAATAATATATAACAAATTGATTAATTTACCTGAATATTTCCACACAAATACAGTTCTCATAATTTCAGAAATTATATGCTGATAAGTTTGTCTTGTGCATTGCACAGAAATGCACATATGGACCACATTTGATTCACAAGTCCAAATGAGCTAAGGGGTACTACCCCACTCCAAATCTTGTAGTTTTTAATGCGATTTATAGCCCTTTCAACATGAATTCGCACACTAGCAATTTGCTGTGTGCGGATAACATCTTCAGCACCCATTTGGGAATTCTGACCAAGGAATGGTGGTATATTCAGAGTTGTCCCCAATGGTAGAAGATCTTGTATGGTGAATCCTTTATCAGCCATGACTGTATCACCATCAACAAAAGCTTGGTCAAGGAAACCACTTCGAATCACGATCTCCCGGTCAGATATAGACCCTGTGTATAGCTGGCTTATAAAAGTAATGGCTCCACTTGGTGCTATCCCTATCAATCCCTTAAGCGTTGTGTGGTTCTTATAAGAACTGAACAGTTCACCATTCAATAATAAACTGCCCGGCATCTCACATCTTATTTCGGTACAGTCTATTATGACACGAGTGTTTGGATATTTTTCTTTAAATACATCAGGCATAGTGTCTTGCACAAGTTGCTTCGATGGCCAGAGGTTAATTTGACCAAACTTTAAGTACATAAAGTTGATCCAGGCTGTCAAACTTCTGCTTACACTGGATGATGCGACACCAAACAAGTGTGATAAATGCTGTATTGAAAAACCTCTGCGTAACCTACACAACACCATAAAATATTCTTCAATTGGTTTAAGCTTCTTTGGCCTTCCCTTCTTTCTCTCACCATTTTCCTTCTCTGGTTCACTATCGTCGATGGCAACATAAAAATCATTTGGTTTTTCCCTCACATACCTTATATTTTCCCCATGTGTCCCAGGGTTAAGGTAATTAAAAAGTGCTATAAATATATCATAGTTGGGAAATCCTGTGTAGAAAGCAATATCTTGGTCGGACGTTAGACTGTTCAAATTCAACAATGGTTCAATAATTTCGCTCTGTTTCTTCAGAATTTCGATCTGTTTTTTCATGTGTCCACTGTTCTGAACGCTTTCTTCCTGAATTAAACAAATACTCTTTTTAAGATCACAGTTTTCTTGTTGAAGGTTAGAGATTGTTTCTTTTGCATCGCGAAGGCTATCTTCAGTGTGTTTAATAGTTCGTTCCAATACTTCCTGTACGCGTTTTAAGTCTGTCACCTCTTCCTTCAATAATTCCTCGTTGTCATTGACTTTACTGACTGTGAAATCTGCATGTGAAGAAGTACTTGGCACATTGTTGCATGTTGTGTTCTTGACTAGTGGCTGTCGGACTGCTGGTGCTTTTCGTCTCTTCGGCGATTCTAGCTTCCACTCAAACTTTGAAGGAATATTGCCTTCCTTTACAAATATTCTTCCATTTAAAGATTTCTTTAAGTCGTCAGGCTTAAAATGTAGAGAACAAACCTTTGTCTTGTCATGGATTTTAAAATAGTTCCCTTCGTCGCGCCTTATTGCATGAATCCATTGTTTACGTGCAGTTTTATCTTTTGGAAAGTTGAAATATGAAACCTTTTCACCATTTGAGAGTCGGTATCCTTGCTGAGAACAAAGAGGTACACAACAGTGCGATGGCATGCAACTTTAAACAACAATTTTTCCATGAAAACCTTTTATATAACTTTGTATAATTTTTAGTATTATTTTGTAAATTTCCTGACTAAAAACAACAACCTGACTAGCCTCGTTTTCGTGTAACTCGCCACAGTCCTCCAGACTTGACAGCTCTTTTTCGAATCGGTGTATTGAATAAAAAAATTTCAGTTATTAATAAAATACTGTATTTCTATTAAATTTTCTAATTTTTATTTCTTTAAGTTTTGTCCAATGAGTACAAGACCTTGTTCTCTTACCCAAACCATTTATTCAAAGCAATTAGAGCTGTCAAATTACTACAATACGTTATAGCTAATTTGAATGGGTTCAGTTTTTTTTATACACACTGTATAGAGGAGTGCTAACATTTCTTTACCTTGCAATTTCCCTACGCTTCAAAGCCCACACCACTTGACGAATTAATATACTATGGGATATAGACCACTGAAATATACTGTGGCCGAGTGGGTTCTAAAATTTAGTTATAATGCAAATTGTCCATTCATTGGCTGTACAGAATTTTTTAATATTTGTTTAGATAATCCATTTAGTTAAATGAACATGTTTTGTGCAATAAAAAATGGGGGTAACCAAGCGTTTTATCGAGTAAAATGCAGTTAAAAGCTAAAATGTCGGTCATATTGAAACGTCATTGTTACCATAGCAACAGAATTTACTATATCCTTTTCTTCAACAATTTCCGACTCTTTGAATGTTGCTCAATATATGTGGCACAATTTTTGGTTTGGTTTGTCCCGGTTTCTTATCAGCGCCTGCATTAGAAAATAGCTGCCACATTTGTATTTTTTTTATAAATAGCAATTACATGAAGTATTTAGCGGTGGGTGGTCAGCAGTGTAATATTTTATGCAAATGGCCGCCAACCTCATGTTCTTTTTAATTTTATAAATACTGTATTTTAAATAAATATACACAGTAGAATAGTGGTTTTTATTAAACAATTTAAGTTTTGTTGTAAAAAAAAATGGTTGTTTAATATGAAAAGTAAAAAAAAAACTCCTGCGCGGCACATTTGCATTTTAAAAAACGTCTGATGAGAAACCGGGATTTTAATACTGCTTGGCCTAAAATAACATTTTTATTAAATACTAAGCCGTTTCATAAGTTGTACATTTCAATTTACACATATCACCACTTTGTCAACCAATATGTCATACTTGAACTATAAGTTCATGGTACGGTGGCCCATATGTGCAAAACACCCCCCAAAAAACTATTGCACCCCAGCGATCACAAAACACCCGAAACACCCCAAAAGATTCAAAACACCCCCAAAAGATTCTAAACACCCCAAAATATTCAAAACACCCCAAAAGATTCGAAACACCCCAAAATATTCAAAACACTCCAAAAGATGCGAAACACCCCAAAAGATGCGAAACACCCCAAAAGATTCGAAACACTCCAAAAAATTTCGAAACACCCCAAAAGATTCGCAATAACACAAAATACATCTATTAAATGGAATGCACATACAAGTAAATTAAATAATATCCTCCTGATTGTTTTTCCTGGGCTCCCAATTTTATCAAGTAATGTTGGTGTTTGTGATTATAATTTAAGTATTAATGGCAGAAGTCGACCTGATTGGGATAGCACCTTTCATTCCCGCTAATTTGAATGAAGAACAAGCTATAAGACACTATTTTCATTCGGGTTTTGAACACAATGTAATCCTCCAGTTCTTATCAAGGTATCACGGTATAACAATGTCTTCCAGAACTCTCTGTTATCGTTTAAAGCAATTTGGGTTGAGCAGAAGACATGCACCTGAGGAAATAGACGAAGAAAGGGTTGCTCACTTGATCAGACAAGAACTAAATGGCGACGGATGCCTATTAGGATATCGTGCAATGTTGGCGGCTTATTAGAAGGAAATATCACGTTAAAGTGCCGCGGAGAGTGGTACAAAGACTGCTTCGTGAAATAGATCCCGAAGGATCTAATGAACGTAGATCACACCGTCTTAAGCGAAGAGAGTATAACAACCCTGGTCCAAACTTCTGCTGGCATGCAGATGGTTACGACAAGCTAAAACCGCATGGATTCCCAATACATGGGTGTATAGACGGTTTTAGTCATCGCGTTCTATGGCTGGTAGTTTGCAAGAGCAACAATGATCCAAAAATAATTTCTAAATACTTCCTCCGTTGCATCCAACAGAACCAGGGTTATCCAACAATGGTACGAACCGACAGAGGTACTGAAAACACGTTAATGGCAGCAATGCAGTGCTTCTTACGTAGATCTAATGGTGATGATCATGCAAGTTTAAAAGCCCATGCATATGGGCCGTCCACTTCTAATCAGAGGATAGAAGCATGGTGGAGCCATTTACGTAAATCTTGGACAACATGGTGGATGAATTTTTTTTCACAAATGGTAGAAAGAGCGGAGTTGGATACAAGTGATGATTTACAAAAAAATTGTTTGTGGTTCTGCTTCAACAAACTATTACAACAAGGTCTAGATCAGGTACGCACAAGCTGGAATACCCATTACATAAGAAGATCCCGTTACAACACGCAAGCTGGTATTCCAGACCAAATGTACTTTTTACCAGAATCTATCGGAGCACGCAATTGCAAGTTTCCTACTGACAATGAGGATATTAATGCCATGCAAGCACACGTTGGCTACCAATCACAAGACGACTATGATATATATTTTGAAGCAATTTGTCAGCAATTGAGCCTGCCAGATAGATCTCAATGGACTGCAGATGAGGCAAAACAATACTTTCACCGTTTAATGGATATTGCACGTCAATAAACAATAGAGTTTAATGGATATTGCACGTCAATAAACAATAGATCGTATGCACAATGACATTCCTTATGGTACGTTACTGCTGCTACCACAATGCTCTGGTATGTAGTCATACACCACAAAGAAATGTCCAAATGCTTTTACATGTATGCTATTGGAAAAGGTTTTATATCCGAAAGAGCCAACTAGTCAAGGTATATAAGCATTACTAGGCGAAGCTAAAATCCTTGGTGAATCCCAGGGTGAGACCTTGATAATTTCGCTGGAATACAGTATAACAAAAAAAGCGTTTTGTAGTTGTATTTTACCTTGTTTGTTTCAAGAATCATGAGTAATGCAGCCAATGATAATCACCTATTTGATCACAAGATGCCATTTGGATACTTGATGAAAGTCACTAGTGTTTTCATCAAACATCTTAATTACGCATGCAAAATTACTTGAATAGAATTCCTAATTACGTTATGCTTGGTTAAGAATTCTATTCAAATCAGCAAACGAGAACATTGTTTTCTCGTGTTTGGATATCCCGGTGAAACACTCGCTCGAGTTGTTCATATATTACGTCACTTAAAAATGTGAATGTCTTACCTACTGCAACCGTCAAAGACGTGTTATGCAATTTTACTTGCATTACACATCATTGCATTAATACGTTTAAAAAAACATATCTTGAGAGCTAGAATAAGGGGGCACTATTAAAACAATGAAGCATTATTCTAAACACCAGAACAAATTGTGTATAAAGTGCAACATGTAATTAAATGGTAACATCTGTCATTGAAGCCAGCTTTCATCACTCAATGATTTGCTATGCGTTCGACTTGCCATCAATAGTAACAAAAATGTTGGCCCTGATACTTGCTGAGAAATGAAAAAATATCCGACAAACGTCATTTCACATGCATTTTAGTTTAGTTTATTTAAAAGTTAATCGAATGTTTATGTTTCTATCATCGTCGTAAAAGTGATGAAAATAGCCTTAAGACACATACTGAACAAAACAGTCTTAGAAAAGTATAAAACGAATATGAAAGAAGATCAATTTACAGTTTGTGCTCGGTTCAACCGTTCCTAAAACAGTTCACGTTGACAGTTAATTTGATAACAGTGACCGCGGTGAAAATTCACACATTGCCAAACCCAGGAGAGTTAAGCATGCAAAACATGAACTCCTTTTGAAAGCTTTCCAGGGATGCCATTTTCTCAGAAACTGGCAAAGTTAGTATATTAGCACAGGTACTAACAGACAGCTTTCGTTCCTCACGTGTATTGTGGTCAAACCGAATTGATGGACGTGGTATCAGCCCAATCGCTGGTATTTCAGAAGCACCGGTTGCAAACATTAAAATATGTGACAAGTTAATAGTTACTTCAGTTTCACTCAATTCCTCTACAACCTTTCCCTTTTCAACATTTTCTAGCATCTGGTTGAAGTTGAACACAATGCGTTCTTCTTTAGCTCGTTTGTTGCTTCCCTCTGGGCTGAGCAATGGATGGAAAATGTCGTCAAGCAAACCAGCTGTTAAAATCGATTTGCCGTACTGGAAGACTGCTCTGAACTGCTCTGGGTTGCTTCTTACTAAATCAAGGATACCACACGTTTTCAGTCCATCAATAAACTGATTCAGTTCCGGTAGAGAAGTATAAATAATTGCATGCAATGCAATAGCCTTTATAAATTCATCTTTGTCTTCTATGGTCACGAACGGCTTTGTATAACCATGGCTAAATCGGAAATCGCTGTTGAACGACGCCTCAGATTTAAATTCCTCGGCGTCTTGAATTCCATCTAGCCTTTCCATAGAATCCTTCATTTCACCAGGAGGTACTTCATCAAACGTTGGATCCAAACATTGGACATTGCCATAGAGGATATAGTCAGTGACAGTCTTTCCAAAACATTTTGGACCAGCAGATCCTTGAAGCAAACCTTTTGCTGCAAGCTGACCACATTTCATAAACTCTTCTTTTTGAAGCGATATAACATTGTGACGAAAGGTTGAGCCATATAGCATTGACCTCTGCATGTGTTGGTTAATAAGTGAAAAGAACTCTCTTGATGGTCCACCATGGTCTACTGCTGGCTCACCGACAAACTGTACTTTGAATGGTTTACTCAAATCATTGTCATCCATGTTTTCCAGTTTCACACACGCATCTCCCCAAACATCATTTCTACAATAGATACAATAGATACAGTATAGTAACATGATTATTTCAAATATTTGTGGACATATTTGAAAATAAAAGTCTTAAATAGTGGGGCTGCAGAGACTTGCTCTTGCTCCAAGTCTGCCTCTTAGGGCCTACATGTTCATAACATTTACATTTGAGCCGGGTAGATCGCTTTGCATGGCCAACTTGTTATTTGTTTAACGTTGTTATTTGTTTCAAGTTGTAAGTTGTTCAAGTTGTTATTCGTTTCAAGTTGTTATTTGTTTGGGCTAGCCCGGTAAGTCCTATAGGGAATTCCCGCCCGACTCTAGGCGGGTACGCGAGATTTGTTTTAATTTTGAAAAAAGCTATTTTTATTAATGGAAAGTGCTTCAGAAGTTTTAATATTGTTGATTTCTAACTTTTTTAAATTCTTAGATGCTTTCTAGATAGTATAAAGTATGCGTTGTGACACAATTTCCAGCCCGATTTGTCAGGTTGGCCTGCTAAGCGTGTTCATATGAGCCCGGGAAGGCAAATCTCGTCTCGCTCAAACGGGAGCCCGGCAAACCGGGCCAGCCCGTGCGCAGGTTCTCATGTGAATCAAATCTCAAAAACATATCAAAACAATATACAAGGTGAGATCTTGCCACTTCCATGTCAGCTCGGTTTATCGGGCTCATATAAACAGGCCCTTAAATGGTATAAATGTGATACACCCTAAAATCGGGCGAGAAAATTGCGCCCTCCAGCCGGCCATATTTTTTGCACAATTTTAGGGTGTATCACATTTACTGTATATCATTAAGAGGCAGACTTGGAACAAGTCTATTGGACTGTTACATTGGCTATTGGAAAGAGGGTGTCGTAATATGGTGGGGGATGTGAACTTTCAGGTTAATAAATATATCAAATCAGTACGATTGAGGGTGGTGTACCTGATACAAATGTGTACATAATACAATATTCCTGTAAAATTCAGGCTTATTAGTGATGGACACTTATTTGGTAGAGGAGACTTGAAGGTTTTTCTGCCTTCCTTTCTGGTAAAGTCAAAAAGGAACAAGGGAAATAAAAAACAGCTCAACAATTCTGTTTTATCAGTCTGTAACCACATATATCCACAGTGTGAACACCATCTGGTCTGACAGGGGGCAGCAATTTTGCACAAGGCCTCAAAATAATTTTTTGTATAACATATCCAGGGTATTAGCCAGAAAAAGAAAGTTTTGTCTGTTAAACGTAAATTGGGAAAGTTTTTTTGACCGATCAAAGTCCCTGTGTAGGAATAAATAGTGTTTTTTCCAACGTGTTTCTCCTTAGATGCAAAACCTCTGGATGCACACAACGGCAGCTTCGCTTTGTACATTTCATTTCGGGTGAATGAACACTGATGCACACCGATTACACTTTGTTTTGTACATTTCATTTTAGTGAATACACTCCCAATATGAATGGAACGTGATACATTTTGAGAAAATAGTTAATGGGAAAAAGTAAATAAAACGTTCTTTGATATAATAATATAAAATCAAACGCAATGCACTTTCTCATCAGAAAAAATGAAAATCTTCCAGTAGACCCAGTTGGGAAAGCCCCTTAGCTACTTCAATTGGGAAGAGTCCGTCAAGCAGACAGTATATGGGCTAGCTAACACCCTGATATCATGTTTTTCTAATTCTGGACAGCTCAAGAATGCATGCAACTATACTTGAATATTCTACATGTGATCAGTGGCGCAGCCAGCTTGGGGGCGAATATTCATATATTTGTGTTCACAGACCATAAAAACATTTGATTTCAAAAGAAGTTAATAATGGAGGTGCCACTGCATGTGATTTTCTTGAAATCATTAATACCATTAAAATCTTCACCAAATGATCTTTAAATAAAAATATATTAATTTTGAGGTCTGGTTTCTCAGACCTGCCTCCCCCCCCCCCCCCCCCTCGCCCTCCCAATTGTTGTTTCATACGTTCATGTATGGTAATTGTTCTCTATCTATATACCGGTGTCACAGTGATATGAGTATCCCTGTGTTTTGTGTATCCCCACACTAATATCACTAGGGATATGTGTATCCCCATGCTCACCTCACTAGGGATATGTGTATCGCCGGCAATATGGCGGTCGTGTTCTGCGTAATATTGTCACAACTTCTAAATGACTAGCTGTAAAAATTAATTCTACACTATGTTCTACACCAATTTATGCGACGCGAACATGTTATCTTAGTAACATAAGCACAATCACATTATACACATTTACTGCAGCATTACTGTAAAAACGTAAATACCGGAAAATAAAGGCACATATAAATGACTTTCCTCCTGCTCATATTTTGAATATTGCATCATTTCGCTTCTAGTGTTGTAGGTATCCACTGATGTATCCCCACCGGGGGTACTTTTATCCCTAGGGATATTAGTGTGGGGATACACAAAACACGGGGATACTCATATCACTGTGACACCGGTAATAGAATATAGCAATACTTTTAAGTTTACTACATTATAAAGAGTTTAAACTGGCTTGAATATTATCTATGCTAGTGGCTTAGACTCTTAGTCTTTTTTCTAAGGATTTCATTTTTCTATAAATAATTAATCTTTCTAAGGAATTCATGTAATGCCCAATTGCGCGCATTTTTAAACCATTGACCACCAGTGCTTTTATCACTGATGAGTAGAATCATATGGTATTAGACTGTTTAGACAGAGTAAAAATATGGTAGGGCACATTATGGTGCAATGTAACTAATATATCAATGGGTTAAAGTTTATCAAATTGTTGGACATTTTGTCCATTTATTAATCCAACTTGACAAAATGCCATGACAGATCAGCACAAAATATTACATCAAGTCTTGACATAATATGTATTACGAAAGTCACCGAACTGTGGAATCGCATAAAAAATTCGTATATCGACCACTCCCACAAACGTCTATGACCGCGCCTACATTCGACTACATAGTTTTGCATGTTTACAATTCTAATTTTGAACAGCCAATCAGGTTCTTGGTAATTGGCTGTTTAAATTTAGAATTGTAAACGTGCAAAACTATGTAGGCGCGGTCGTAGACATTTGTGGGATTGGTCGATATACAAATTTTTTATGTGATTCCACAGTTCGGTGACTTTCATAATAAATATGTTTTAAATTTCCATAGGCAAGCAGGAGGGAAAAAATAGGGGGAGGGAGGGTGGGACAAAAAACTTTTGCATTTCAATTATTATATTGCATATTTATTATTTTTAAAGTTATTTTCCCCATCTTTTTGCCCAACTTCCATTTATAATTTGCCCAACTTCATTTTGGGTACCGCCCAATACGCTTACATATGTAAACTTCCAAGACGGGTAATTTTTCTTTATTCCTTCTCACTATATTTATTTTAATAATTCACAACAAATTACAAAATTTGGGAAATTGGAAGTTGTGAGCACCCATAGCCCCCTCCCCACTAATCACTTTAATAGCCAAGTTGGCTTACAAATTACCTTGTCACTTTCATCCTTGTGTACTCTCCATCACCAACAAATTTCTTTGCTTGATTATTCAGCAGCATATGTAGAACTTTGTCAGTGCAATACACAGTTTCATCAGTTACAAAGTAGCACTCAGGAGACATAATCAAATCATCATTTTCAACATCCTCCATGCATAAGTTGGCATACGAACTATGAAGAGAACCTCCAATATCTACAGAAATTAATTGGATAGCTTCTTCAAGACTTGAGGTAGATGAAATGGCCACTCTCATTGATTCCTCATCTCTTCCAGGAAATATCTCCATCAACGTATGCAATTGCGAGTCCAATGTTAATGGCGTCATATTATCCTGATGTTGTGGACTGTCATTGATGATAGTTGACGCTTGGGCGGTTTCGCTAGATGGGATTGTTACCACTTCATGATGTGTGTCAAGATAGGAATGATAGGATTCTCCATTTTCGGAACATTGGATGTCCTGCATGTTCTCTTCATCTTCATAGTCGGACTGATTTACGTTTCTAGATGCTTCAAACGTTGATATATCCTTAGGGTTGGCCAGATATAGCGTGATTCGGTTATACGCTTTGCACAATTCTTGTTTATACCCTTCTAAAGTAAACAATACATCGTCTTTTCCAGGTATTGAAAGGACTTCCGTCCCATCAGGATAAACCAAGGTCCACTCATTCGATAATAAAGTAAACGATCTATCGTGGTTTGTGTGCTTTTTAACCGCTTCACTGAGAAGTTGCCATTTGTTGTATTCTGGCCATGCTTTCACCATCAAATATTTCGACCTTATAGGTTTGAATTCCCCCTTCTTGTCGAAAGCCATTATCCCAATGTTTACAGTAACTTCCGCATTGCGTTTACGCTTCTTTTGTTTGAAACGGCTTGACTCATCCGGTTTCCTTTCATTGGTTCGTTCACGTCCTTTCTCAGCTTGAAATTCGGCAAAAGATCGAAATCTTTTTTGTCCCACTCCAGAATTGGCTGAGGTGTTTGAACTCGAACTCGAAGAACATCCCGCGTTGGAATCAGTATTTTTCACTTGTTTTGGCGTGTCTATACGAGTGCACTTGCCACAAGATGGACAATAGAAGAATGTACTCAATATTTCTGTATTGCAATTATTGCACTTCATTTGCAAACTTTATTATAGTAATAATATTACCAAATTTTTTGTTTAACAAGACTTGTATTACAAATATTTGAAAATTTATGCAATCATGTTGAACCACGTGTTAAAACAACAACAAAAGCCTGGGAACGAGGTTGCAAACATTGAACTATAAATAAACTGGAAGGCTAACTCAGGGGGGGAAATTGAAGCCAGTGCATTTTAGTTTTTCTGAGTTATGAGCAGAAATACTCAACACTGAACGTTGGGCTATATATCAAATTAAAGCTATTGAAAAACTCTATTTGGTGTAGAAATTTCAAGACTTTAGCTAAAAGGGAAATATTGAAAAACTGCAAACATAATTACCGATAATTTGCCGTTTTGCAGTTGTTTTTGTATTTTTTAAAGATTTTTCTTTTCGCTGAAGTCTTGAAATTTCCACACCGAATAGCAATTTTCAATAGCTTCAATTTGATATATAGCCCGACGTTTGGGGTCAAGTATTTCTGCTCATAACTCAGAAAAACTATTTTGGCTTCATCAAATCATAGGCCTTCATCATAGCAGTTAGCCTTCCAGTTTATTTATAGTTCAATGGTTGCAAATAATTAATTTATAATTGTAGTGTTTCGAAATCTTTTTGAGTGTTTTGAATCTTTTAGAGTGTTTCGAATCTTTTGGAGTGTTTTGAATATTTTGGGGTGTTTCGAATCTTTTGGGGTGTTTTGAATATTTTGGGGTGTTTCGAATCTTTTGGAGTGTTTCGAATCTTTTGGGGTGTTTCGCATCTTTTGGGGGTGTTTTGAATCTTTTGGGGGTGTTTCGAATCTTTTGGGGGGAGTTTCAGATTAACCGTTGCAATTTGATTTGCATATTGGGGTGTTTTGTGATCGCTGGGGTGCAATAGTTTTTTGGGGGGTGTTTTGCACATATGGGCCACCGTAAAAATGCTATCAATTTAGACTAATAAAATGCCGTATAAATTTACGGTAGATTTATACTTCTTTCTATGGACTATGACTGTATTTTATTTAACGGTTTCAAGACGATCTTTCTCCAATTCCATGACACGTTGTGTCTACAATGCGGCAAAGACATGGAAGATGTATAGATAAGCGACGGCGATTCTTTCCTGCATGGACATAAAAAGACGAGTGTTTGCGAAAACATTGAACTATTATTATAAGTAATAGCATGGCTTGAGGGAGATTAGTGATTAAATGGCCCCGTAACCCGAGGCAGGTTTGCGGAATTCCCGAGGGCGAAGCCCGAGGGAATTCCGCAAACCTGCCGAGGGTAAGGGGTCATTTAATCACTAATCTCCCGAAAAGCCATGCGATTAGTTTGTAATAGCATAGTTTCGCTCCCATTTAAAAATGGACAAACATGCCCTACTTGGAATCAGCGTATTTAAGCTAAAACATTTGCTTCATTGCTTGTGGGATGTAAAAGCTTGTTGCACATGCGCACTTTTTACGCTTTAATCGGTTACGCATGCGCAATCTATTATTTAACGTACCACAACAAACACGCTAAATATATTAGTATAAATTTGGAGACTGCACGTGCGTAATTTAAATGATGCGGCAACTCAGGGATCGGATGATAGACTATTGACGGCTCTGAGCTAACTGTTGCTGTTCCTTGCACGATTATGTGCGTGAGGCACTTGCCTAATGCGTAGTCGTCAGGGAGACAAAGGTGTGACCCTTGGTAACGGGCGATTAGTTCTAATCGCCCGCTCTAGCGGGCGATTAGAACTAATGCTACAGCGGGCGATACGTGATTAAACGTCCCTGTTGAAACAAAAGAAACCCGGGCAACTATGCTATTACAATAATAATTACATTCTAAAAAATGTTGTTTGCAGGGACCGCGGAGACGGGGGGGCTGGGGGGCTTTAGCCCCCCCCCCACTTTTTTTGACAGCCAAAATTATTAAAATAGAAATCTAAATGAAACTTTCTAAATTAATTAAACCTCACCCTTTAGCCCCCCCCACTCTCTAATACGCTCCGCGGGCCCTGATATATAAATATATATATATATATATATATATATATATATATATATATATATATATATATATATATATATATATATATATATGTACTATTTAAAGCACGCGTACGGGCACCTATGCCAGCAATGAAATTCTACCTCCTCCGCAGGCCTTTCGATGCGGGCGGGAATAATTTGCGGGCGTGAAATTTGAGATCAGGGAAGAACGGAAGGCAACGAAAGGCCTGCTGAATAATAGTCGGTTCCTGGGCAGAAGTGACGTTTCCCGGGTATCGGTTTTCAATCCTTAAAAATCTTCGTGAAATATGAACCATCCTATCCCAAAACTATTGTCCCGTGTATGGTAGAGTATTTGTGATACTTCAGGGCAGTCATGGCCGAAAGCAGCGACGAACAGAGGGGAAAATCGAGGATTTCGACGATGTTGACGTTCTTAATAATATGTCATTCTGTGAAATGGAAATATGTATGTATTTTACCTGATTAAATATCATGTAGATCATTGACGCGTTTTATAATGCAATTCATAACAAGCAGTCGTAACACAATGATATCGATCGCTATGAACAGGACACGCTCACACGCTTGAATAACGCCATATGTTGACAATTAATATGTTGTGCTCATCGTTCGACGGCAGCGATGTGGATACTCTCAATATATCGTTTTCTGAAATGGACTTGGTATGTAGATTTTTGTGGTAATGGAGATTCTACATGCAGACATTGTGTTACTATACTCAAAAGACAAAGAACAAGCGAACAATGAGACGCTATATTACTTCTATTTACATTGTAAATGTATATTTTTAATATGCAAATATAATTTCACCATATTTATCTTTCAAATTGTGCTTTTAATGTTTCATGCAGACTGATATTTGAATCTTATCTAAAGTATTTGGAATGGCTTATCATAGGCTTAGTCGCAAAATATGTAGAAAGCGGATATAATATCGTTGATGTTGTATTTGCATTTGGCATAGTTTGTATAAACACTTTATATTAGACAGTCTACATCCTCATAGAAAAGCGGCGGCTAGTTATAAGTACTTTTTAGTCTGCCAAGACCACTGGATGCTATTTCTAAATATTATTTAGATCTATTAGATCAGTGCTGGTATGTATATTGTATATTAAGTCATAATAGTAAAGTCAAAATGAAAAATTCGATTTATAGCATACGCCATCTTGAAAGCATTACTCGGCAGGCGCTCTCGCCTGCAACCCGCATTTTCCGAACCTGCCCGAAATGCACCCTAAGCGCCTGCGGAGGAGGTAG